ATCCCCTTGTACCAATTATTATCATTATGCATCTACTCCTCCTGTGCTTCATAGCTGGGAGATCCAACAGAAAACAATAAAAAACAAAATCACACTAAGGTAGTAAAGGTGAGAAAACATAATAGTATACAGACAAAAATACAAAAATGCATAAGAAAGAAAGTATCCCAAACAATAATAAAAAAACCAGGGAAGAAATTTCTGTCATGGAACCAATAAGAGATATTTGCATCCAGTGTCGAGTTTGATTCAGCATAATCAAGATTACTATGATCTTTGCCTGATAATAAGGCTGATTGAGATTCTCTCTTGTGGCTAGAGCAGATCTCCCAGTGGCTCAGTCTGACCACCTACTCTGCAGATGGGTTTTTGGGCTTTCACTGCCTCCCAGTGCTGCCCATATAATTTTTGCTCTGATGCTTTTCTCCTCACCATATTCGAGTTTTGTAATTGTCATCTTTGGGTCACACAAGCTAGTGTGCTTCTTCCCTGTGTAGACTTAATTGACTCCTTACTGAGATGACTGCTTGTTTGAATACAAGCCTTTAAGACCCCAGACACTATTCCGATCGATAGCCAGGCACTATCTGCTTTCTTCACCACACTTTGCTTGTAACACCCTTATCTTTAGTGATCATTTCATGAAGGTGAGTATTCAGCCAGGGTTATGATGTAAGAACTAATTGTTCTTGAAGTTGGGGCTAGGACTTAGTGCAAGCCCTAAACCCATTCTTGGATCTATGCCTTTATTTTATTTTTGTTTTTCAAAATTAATTTGCTATAATTTGGGAGTCAATACATATGTCCTATTCTATAGTTCAATCATGTCAAACATAATTGTACAATTTCTTGCATAATCATACATGCTTTGCAAAACAGAGTTTTCCTTCCTGGACTTCTTGACATTATCTCCCTCATCCCTCTATATCCCCTTTCCCCCAAACTCTCAGAATATATTTTCTTTCCCGGTAGGCTTAACAGCCCTGGGCTTATTTGGTGAAAAATAGTAAAAACAAATAACACAGCTTCGAGAGAGATAGGCCCAATGGTGATGCATCTTTGAGATACACTCTAATGTAAATGAGCATAAGCAGAATATAACATAAATGCATGTCTTAATACAGAAAACCGGGAGTTGATGTACCTAGACCTTGTTTGTTTGCCAATCAACAGTACACCACTCTTGGTACAGCCGTCTTCTACCTCAGTAATGTGTTTTCCGGCTTAAATCCTCGGTTTACAAGTGTGCTTGGGGTAGAGGCCAGTTCACCCAGTAAAGTTCCCATGATAGGAACTTTTTGAAGCCATCCTCATATTTGTGGTATTATTTTACTCATATTGACAACATTGTTGTGATTTTATGTAAGTCCGTGTCCTCTCTCATTCATTGCCATCAAGTCAATTCTGAGGCATAGAGACCCTATAGGACAGAATAGAACTACCCTTGTGGGTTTCCAAGACTAACTTAATTTTTAAAAATGTTATTTATTTTTTTAAGACTAACTCTTTACAGAAGAAGAAAGCCCCACCTTTCTCCTGTGGAGTAGAAGTGAGTTTGAGTTTCCTCTTCATGGGAGTAGAAAGTCTTATCTTTCTTCTAGAGGAGGAGGAAACCAAGTGTGTCACCCTTTTAGTTTATCCTTTTTGTCTGTTCTTATTTGTTGCTGTGGATTTGAGCTGATCATTTTGAGTTGTTTCTTTATCACAATGCAGCTTTCCTCCCACCCATCTCATTAGTGCCATTATAGGCAAAGTTAACTACATTTCTGTATCCCAGGCTCAGCAGTAAATTACATGCATATTGTTTTATAATTGATTTTAAATCTGCTATCAAAATAAATTTGACTTACAGGGACTTTTAGAATTACATACTTTTTACTGATTTTTTTCTCCCTTTATTAGTGTGTATGAATTTGAGTTATTGTCTGTGATTACTTGCTTTCAGCCTAAAGAACTTCCTGTACTATTTCTTGTAAGGCAGATCTGCTAGCAACAAATTACCTTTGTTTTTATCAGGGAGTGTCTTCATTTCACATTCATCTTTGAAAGATAGCTTTACTAGATACTGAATTCGCCTATTTTTTAAACTTAAAATTTTATTGTTCTTGAGAATATGCAAAGCAGACTATCACCAGTTCAGTAGTTCTACATGTACATACAATTCATTGACATTGATGAATTCTTCCAATTGTGCTGTTATTTTCACCCACCTTCTCTGAGTTGTTAGTCTCTATTAACATAAATTCACTGTCCCCTGATGGCCCTGTCTGATCTTTTGAGTTGCTGTTATCAGTTTGATTACATGTAGATAGTTCTTGAAAGAGCATAGTGCTCATAACAGATATTATTAAGAAGACTTTAGGCAATGTTTTTGGTTTAAAGTTTAAAGATGATCTGAGTGCAATAGTTTCGGGGGTTTAGCTAGTCTCTCTTGCTACAGATAGTCTAGAGTTCTTGAGATTATAAAATTCTGCTCTATATTACCCCCATTTTAATCAAGCTCTTCTGTAGAATAATAGCAAAATACTCTGTAATGGTATCATCCAGTTCTAGGCTCATGGCAAGGAAGCCCTTTGATTGTAGAAGCATTTGGCTGCACATTTCACTTTTTTCCTCCCTGCTCTTGACTCTCTTCCTTCCTCTCTTGCTCTATGTGAGTAAAGACCAATTGTACCTTAGAAGTTTGGAGTTACAAGTACTGAATGCATTGTTAAACTAAATTACTGGGATGATCCATGAAACCATGCTCCTGAACACCTAAACCAAGGAATCTCCTGAGGTGTCTGGTTGTACATACACAGCCTCAGCAGCTTGGTATGTGAGATTCTTGATCGACAGTTATTTTCTTAAATCACTTTGTTGTTCCATTGCCTTCTGGCCTCCACTGTTTTTGGTAGAACCCAAACCCCACTGCCTTGAGTGGATTCTGATTCATAACATCCCCATAGGACAGCACAGAAGTGCTCCATAAGGTCTCCAAGACTGTTTCTATGTACTGGAGCAGGCAGTCTCTTCTTTCTCTCACAGGGCAGCTAGTGGGTTTGAACCACCAAGTTTGTGGTTAGCAGTCAGTGCTTAGCCCACTGTGCCACCACAACTCCTTTAAGGAAGCAGGTTGTTAATCTTACTGGGATTTCCATATTTTTCTTTTACTGCTTTTGAGATTTTCTCCTGATCTTTGTCAGTATTTTTATGACGATAAGACTACTGGGAGAGTTTTTATCCTACTCAGAATTCATGTGTTTTCCTGGGTGTGTCAATTGATACTTTTCAATAAATTTGAAATGTTTTCAGCCATTGATTCTTAGAATATGTTTTCTGTTCCTTCCTCACTTTCATCCTCCTGGTATTCCCATTACACGTATCTCAATACACTTAAATAGTGCTCCATGTTTTTCTGAAGCTCTGAACCTTTCTCAGCATTATTTTATTATTTTCTGAATTACATAATTTCTACAAGTGTGAATTCTTTCTTCTGTCACGTCATATCTACTGTTGACTGTTGAGTCCCTCTAGTGAATTTTTATTTTCAGTTACACTTTTCAACTCCAGATTTTCCACTTGGTTCTTTTTTTATAATTTCTATCTTTTTATTGATGGTGTCTATTTTTGTGTGAGAGCTTACTCAATTCTTTCTGCATAGTTTCCTTTGGTTGTATTTATTACAGTTACTTTGATGTTGTTATTAAATCAAACTTTTAGTTCTTCTCATAGTCGATTTCTGTTGTTGGTTTTTCCCCCCAGCATCTGCCTTAGACTTTCTTATTTCTTAGCATAGTAATTTGTTGGAAACTTAAGACCCAAAACTCACTGCCCATCGAGTTGATGCCAGTTCATAGCAGCCCTGTAGGACAGGGTAGAACTGCTCCTTTGGGTTTCCTAGTCAGTAACTCTTTATAGGAGTAGAAAGCCCCATCTTTCTCCTGTGGGGAGTGGTGGGTGGTTTCGTACTGCTGACCTTGCAGATGGTAGCCCAAAGCGTAATCCAAGACATATCAGGGTTCCTGGAAACTAAGACATTTCAGAGAATGCATTGTAGCCATTTTGGGTGCTGATAAGTTGGAGGCCAAGTCAGACCTGCCCTTGGGGTGTGGAAGTCAGTGCTTCTTCATTGGGCACTGCCACTCATCAGACTGCTTAATCTGTTGGATGTGAATTATGCTGCTCTTGGAATACTGTTCATTTGTGGCTTAGTTTGAGTGTTGTGATTATTTCAATAAGAAGAGGTTTCAGTCATGTTGTAAACTAGCTAATTTTTGCGAGAAATGTATTTTTTGTGACTAATGTTTCTATGATTTCTATGGGGCCTAATCTCTTCCAATGGCATAAGCTTAAAGTTGCATTATGTTACATAATAAAATTCACTTGAAAATAGCACTTGAAATTACTTTCCAGCCACCTTTGGTATTATACTACATTGTTTTAGTGGGAGGGTTTAACCAGGAAGGGCACATGTTGTGTAGTTATTGACAGAGGTCCTTACTATTTAGAACATTCTTTAAATTATGTAACATATTTTCAAATGGTTTTCTGCCCTTGTAAGCACATCAGCAGTTTTAGAGGTGGAGGAAAAATGGCAGGTGCTTTACTGTCAGTCAAGTGTGTTAGTTAAATCAGAAATAGAACTTCTATTTTGTTCCTGGGTAGCTCTTTATAAGTGTGTGGTTACTTTTGTGGTACAGATTATCACTAACTCATGTTTAACATTAGTCGTGCCCCTCCCCCATCCTAGTATATGTTGTTCTTATTTTTAATGTGCTTATTTGATTTAGAAAAGGGTTTCGTTCTTTTGTTCTCCTTCCTCCCTCCTCTGGTCCTCTGAGCAGGCAAACCACAGGGAAGATAAATGTACTTAGCTCATCTTGAGATTTAATATTGGAGAAGACCTCTACACCCATAGCCTGCCCATCACTGGAATGAAATGATATAATATTCTAAATTTGGAGGGAAATAATTGTAGCTGCTGAAATGAATAAGCATACTGTTTTATCTTTGCAGAGGTCGAAACAGTAGCAAAGGACTGCCTCAGTCTACGGTAAGTAATATGAATCTTATTTCTTTGGTAGGGAAATGGTAACTCAGAAATGATCTCTAACCACAGATCAGAAGTCAATGCAAAAAAGAGAAGAATCTTCTTGTTTAGCTCAGAACTCTTTAATTGGTCAGCGTAGTGTAGTATAAAACTATTAGGCTGTCTGCTTTCAATTAGGCTGTATGGTTAAAACAGAATTATCTATAAATAGTATTTTGTCAGACATAATTTTGTAATAACAGTGCTTGGTAAATCTAAATGATTAATCCCCCAAAGATAGTAAACCATCAGGATGAGAGTTTGCAGAGTTCTGTGAGGGTTTGGCTTTGGAATAATTTGCTTTTTATTTTTTATTTTTATTGCTCTATTTTTCTTCCTTGGATAGGGCCTTCTAGTCTTAACTTTTGGAATGTTGCCCTTGAAATTCAACTAGGCACGAAGGGCAGAATGTGTAAGTTCCTGATGGTAGAAGAAAGAAATGAGAAGCTGTCACTGTTTTTTGAGCCTGTGCATTGTTTGGCCAGACTGTCGTCCTGAGAATCGGGAGGACACACATTTAGGTGTGGGGTGTGAAATGTACCATAGAGTGAAGTGGTTGTCCAGAATAGGACAGTTTTGTTGCCCTCAAGCCCCTAATACCATTTTATAGACAATCTTTCCCTCCCTGCTCTCCAGCAACTATTGATTGTTCTCTGCCCTTGTGGTTTTCTCTTGGCATATCTTGCTTTTGTAGTCCAGATTTCTGTAGTTGGAATGACTGATTTCACTTTTGAAAAATGGAGTTGTTTTCTAAGGAAGAAAAAGATGATAATGGTACCAAATCTCATTTTAATACATGTGAGGTATTCTATGCCTACCTGAAAGTTTTGTTTTTAATCATTGGGGGCTGTTACAGCTCGTATCACAATCCCTACATCCATCCATGTGTCAAGCACATTTGTACATATGTTTCCATCATCATTTTCTTTTTAATCATTTTATTGGGGGCTCATATAACTCTTACCACAATCCATACATACATCAATTGTATAAAGCACATTTGTACATTCGTTACCCTCATCATTCTCAAAACATTTACTCTCCATGTAAGCCCCTGGCATCAGCTCCTCATTTTTTCCACCTCCCTCCCTGCGCCATCATCATTAGCAAAACATTTTCTTTCTACTTGAGCTCATTCCCTCCTTCCCTGCGTGGACCCTTGATAATTTATATATATAATGTTTTACACCTACTGCTGTCTCCCTTTACCCATTTTTCTGTTGTCTGTCCCCCTGGGAGGGGGTTATAGTTAGATCATTGTGATCAGTTCCCCCTTTCTCCCAGCCCCTTCCTCTTACCCTCCTGGTATCGCTACTCATTATTGGTCCTGAAGGGTTTATTTGTCCTGGATTCCCTGTTTCCAGCTCTTATCTGTACCCGTGTACATGCTCTGGTTTGGCTGGATTTGTAAGGTAGAATTGGGGTCATGATAGTGGGGGAAGAAAACATTAAAGAACTAGAGGAGAGTTGTGTGTTTTGTCAGTGCTGTACTGCACCCTGACTGACTTGTTTCTTCCTTGTGACCCTTTTTGTTTTTTATTTACCTAAAAATTTTATAACAAAAGAAATACTTTCTTATACGTGTTTATGCCTGTGTGTGTATAAAGTCTGATTTCTAATAATGTCTTCTCATATTACAGATTTCATTTGATGGAATCTATGCAAACATGAGGATGGTCCATATTCTTACATCAGTTGTTGTAAGTGATCAAATTACTGGGAATAAACTGCCTTGTTCTTGTAGTCGAAAGCAGCATCTGACATTCTGATGTGTGTGAATGATTCTCATAGTAACATTTCTTAGATTAAGTTATTCAGGATGATTTAGTATAGACTGTGTAACCCTCTTCTTATTGTCCTATGTACAAAACAATTTGAGGGTTCAAAAAGTTTGGGGGAAAGTTCTATTATCTTTTCATTTTTCCATGATTTTTTTTGAAGTTCTGTAATGGCCTTATTTCCTTGTCACCAAGTATCGTGGGGTCAGAAATCTTTAGCTTCAATATTAAATACAAATGAAAACTTTCAGAACGCTGAAGAATTCTGAGAGTTCAGTGCATTTTTATACAGAGTCTTCATAAAATTTGTGGCAAAATTCCATTGTCTTTTTCATCCCATCGTTTCATGGACTTTTTGAAGCCTCCTCATTAATATCTTTAAAATGTGTAAATACCTAATACATTTAGTGAAGCCTGATGAGCAATGAAAAGTTACTTCCTCCTTCCCTCCCCACCTCCGTGGTTGTGTTGCAAGTGTGCCATTTCTCTGATAATGTACTTGTATGTTTTTAGGGCTCCAAATGTGAAGTACAAGTGAAGAATGGAGGTATATATGAAGGAGTTTTTAAAACGTACAGCCCTAAGGTAATGTTTACTCTGCCTTTTTGTGTCTCTGAAACCCACATGAAAAGCAGCTGCTGCATATTCACACGGCTTGCTGGCTTGTGTCTTCTGGCTTCTGATATAGGGTAGCCACCTTATCACTGGCTATGCTGATAAGGGTGAAATCAAAAGTTTCATGATCTACCTGATTATTAAAATATTTGTCATTTTTCAAGTGTTGTGGACTAAGAGAAGGAAATGAGTTCACTGCCCTTCCCACTCTGATCACCACTAGTGCTCTTTACAGTGACTGCAGCATCAAGGGCCAACTCAGAGTCAAGTGGTGACTGAATGAACAGTAGTCTGAGGAAAAAGGGTGATTACGAGGCTCTCTTGAGAGAGGTCATTTTTGCCAAAGATATTAAAACAGCAGACTGTGCTAAAGCGTGTGTGGAATTTTGTAGGTGTCTTGAATGTTCACTCATGTTTTTATTTTCAGTGTGATTTGGTACTTGATGCTGCCCACGAGAAAAGTACAGAATCCAGTTCGGGGCCAAAACTTGAAGAAATCATGGAGAGTATTCTGTTCAAGTGTTCAGACTTTGTTATGGTTCAGTTTAAGGATATGGACTCTAGTTACGCACGAAGAGGTACGTTTTGATTTGTCAACTGTGCTTCAGAGGTGATTGGATTACTCAGGCAAAAACTCTGCAGTGATAACTTGTTTTTAAGCCTAGGCCTCCTAGAATTGTCTGGTTAAGGAAATCTTTTAGAATGGTGGCAATTTTAATACTTTCTTTTGGAAAATTATTTAAAACTTACGAGGATGAGTATTTGGTCCTTTAAGTAGCATATATTCTGACTTTGTTTCATTAAAGTAGTTTGTAAAGCATTTTCTCAAGTTTCATGGTTAAGGTTACTAATTACACACCTGAAAATGTCTTGTGGCACGTGGTCTGTGGCACTTTCGATCACTGTAACTCAAATCAAACTCATTGCTATTGAGTCTACTCTGAATCATCATGACCCTGTAGGACAGAAGATCCCTGGCCAATAGAGGTCCAAGTCTATCAGTCTTTATGGAAGCAGACAGCCTCATCTTTTTTCCATGTTGGTGGGTTTCAACCATCAGCCTTTTGGGTAGCAGCCAAATACTTAACCACTGTGTCACCAGGGACCTTTTTCATTTATAACCTTATCCCCTTTTGGTCATCAAATCAATTCCATCTCATCATGACCCTCTATAGGGGTTCAGGAAAGTAAATCTTTGTGGGAACAGACAGCCTTGTCTTTTTCTTCTAGAACTGCTGGTGGATTTGAACCTGGAGGTTTAGCAGCCCAACAGCCCATAGTACCACCAGGGACTGTAAATAGGAAAAGACATCAGAGCACAAGGCCAGGAGCCAAAAGGCTCAGAGATACGGGTGGAAACTGATGCTCTGGAGCAGAATTGTTTGGGGTTTCAGTTTTGAATTGATCTTTTTTATCGTGTTTATCTTTCTCCCTTGGAAAGGGCCTTCTGGTCTTTGAAGTAGAACCAAGTGTATTTAATGAAAAATAGAGCAAGGGGCTATGTTTTAAGATTTTAAAACCAGTACTGCAGCTATTCTAGAATGGAGTCCACTTAGTGTTGAATGAGGAGGGTTATGGGGAGACTGCTATGGCTTGTGTGTTCAGTAGCAGGTTGAAGGCTTTTCTTGGCAATCTTGAACTTGGTTCTGGAATTCTTGAAAGGGTGTGTGTGTGTGTGTGTGTGTGTGTGTGTGTGTGTGTGTGTGTGTTCGTGTTCAAAATCTATAGTCAAATATGTAATTCTGCTGCAAATTTTAACTCATTACAATTTGAGTTGCATTATGAGGGTGATTATAATCAGGGATGATGATTCTGCACTGCTGTTGGACATTGACAAGGCACCAGGAAGTTGGAGCCGCCCCTCGTGGACCTCTTGAGTCAGGCTCCCCTATGGTGACTTTGCTTTTCTGGAGGCTGCCTTACTGGGTACTCTGGGCTGCCAAGGAGAGCCAAGCTCTGGTTTTGCATCTCCTTGTGCTGGTTTTAAGACACAGCTCTAAGAGCATCTCAGGAGTTTGTAGGGAAGCAAGTCTTTTTCCGTGTTTGGCTCTGGAGTTCGGCTTGCGTGTGCCTAGATGCACACAATTGTTCCCACCTGGACTTACAGTGCTGACTTTTCCATCGTTTTAGCTGTAAACATTGACTTTGAGTCAGAACCAAAAAACAAGACTGAAATTTTAGGCGATTTTTTTTACTTCATAGCATCTTGGAGAAAATATTGACCATCACAGAATTGGGTACCAGGCTATCTGGTAACACAGTGTGCTTTGTTTTAAAACAGAAAGAGCATTCCTGAAATTTGGAAAGCACCTCGGAAGTATTTGGATAGCTTATTGTTCGATCCCTTATTGTTAGAATTAGAATCTGACACTTTTATGAATTAGAATCTGACACTTTTATTATTTTCGTCTATTACTATACTGTGTTTTGACCAGGTAGAAGGCCCAGAAATGGGAGATCAAAGTTGTATATTTGAGACCTTTCAGTACACTCCTAAAGGATAAATGCCCTTTCCTATAAATATAAAAATGTCCTTTTCTTCATGCAGATAGCCAACGTTGTAGTACTTGCAGTATTTAAAAACTAAACTGGTAAAGCTGGGAAAGGATGTGGCGCCATCTGCTTCTGTAAAGATTACAGCCTTGGAAACCCTATGGCACAGGTCTGCCTACTCTGCCCAACAGGGCTACTCTGAGCCGGAGGTTATAGTGGTACAGTGAATTATTCAGTTGTGGGGTGAGTGAGAGATAACTGAAATAGTACTAATGCTATGAGTATTGCAGCTTTCTAAGAGGGGATTCATAAATCTGTTCTATAATATTACTGTTGAGTTCTGTTTGCTTTTGTAATTAAAAAAACAAAAAAACACCAAACCTGTTGTCCTGGGGTAGAATCTGACTCATTGCAGCCTTGTCGAATAGAATAGAATAGAACTGCCCCATAATACTGTCAAATTCTTTTTATTTTTTTAACTCATTTTATTTGGGGCTCGTACAACTCTTATCATAATCCATACATCGATTGAATCAGGCATATTTGTACATGTGTTGCCTTCATTCTTTTCTAGACGTTTACTTTCTATTGAGCCCTTGGTAGCAGCTCTTTTTTTTTTAAACTGTCAAATTCTTAAGGTTGAGACTAGTCACTAGAATTTGAATGTACATTCTAAGTCAGAATCTTTTGCAAAGTACTTAATGTGTTGTGGTGGTTCATTCTGAAGTGGGTGTGATTATTGTCCAGGTGTTTTTAGACACAAGGCAACTAAGACAAGCTTAACTTGCAAAAGTGAGGTCAGACCACCACCTCAAAGCTTGCATTAGGTGACCTGAGGTGTTAGACTTCATTTGCATTAGCAAGAAAGAATTTACCCACAAATAAAGCCAAATTGAAACAAAGCCTCAAGCAATATAATGCTTAGCTTATTGGTGTTATTTAAAATTCTTTTTTTTTTGGTCAATAGTGAGTGCAGTCCATGTACTACATTGATCTCAGTAGATATTAAAAGCTGTCATGTTCATGAGTATATCAAGCACATTTGTACATGCGTTGTCCTCATCATTCTCAAAACATTTACTCTCCACTTAAGCCCTTGGTATCAGTTCATTTCCCCCACCCCCTCCCCGCTCCCCTTTCCCAAGTTTTTTAAAAAAAATTTATTTTAAACATTTTATTGAGGGCACTTACAGCTCTGGTAACAATTTATATATCAATTGTATCAAGCACATTTGTACATATGTTGCCATCATTATTTTCTAGACATTTCTTTTGTTTGTTTGTTTTTGTCTTTTTAAAAAAATCATTTTATTAGGGGCTCATACAACTCTTATCACAATCCATACATACATCAATTGTGTAAAGCACATTTGTACATTCATTGCCCTCATCATTCTCAAAACATTTCCTCTCCACTTAAGCCCCAGCATTAGGTCCTCGTTTTTCCCCTCCCTCATGAGCCCTTGATAATTTATAAATTATTATTTTGTCATATCTTGCCCTGTCCGACGTCTCCCTTCATCCACTTTTCTGTTGTCCGTCCCCCAGGGAGGAGGTCACATACAGTTCCTTGTAATCGGTTCCCTCTCTCCAAACCCACTCCCAGTATCGCCACTCACACCACTGGTCCTGTAGGGATCATCTGCCCTGGATTCCCTGTGTTTCCAGTTCCTATCTGTACAAGTGTACATCCTCTGGTCTAGCCAGACTTGCAAGGTAGAATTCGTATCATGATAGTGGGGGCGGGGAGGAAGCATTCTGGCTGTACTTTTTTCCAAGATAAATTAATTTTTTTGCATTCCATGGTAATTTCAATATTCTTCACCAGCACTGTAATTAAACGCACCAGTTCTTCTTTGGTCTTCCTTATTCAAAGTGCAACTTTCACATGCACCGAGGCCATTGAAAATACCATGGCTTGAGTCAAGTGTACCTCGGTGTCCTCAAAGTAACATCCTTGTTTTTCAACACTTTAAAGGGGTCTCACAGCAGATTTACCCAAGTGCAATATGTCATTTGATTTCTCAACTGCTGCTTCCATGAGCATTGATTGTGAATGCAAGCAAGCTGAAATCCCTGACAACGTCAATCTTTTCTCTGTTAATCATAGTCCAGTTGTGAGGTTTATGGTTTTCTTTACATTGAGTTGTAGTCCACACCGAAGGCTGCATTCCTGGATCATCGTTAGCAAGTGCTTTAAGTCTACCTCATTTTCAACAAGCAAGGTTGTGTCATATGCGTATCTGTAGCATTTTTGTTAATAAGCCTCCTTCTAATCCTGATACTGTATTCCTCGTCATATAGCCAACCTCTCTGATTATACTTGCCAACACACATCTTGGTGCCTCAGATGTTAGACTTGTTTCTGGGTGTATTTGTCCTGCTGATTAAAAAAATGGCAACAGTTTTCCCCATTCAGATTTAGTTTTTGAGATACAGAATATATGCTTTATACCACTCTTCATTGTGCTTCCTCCCCCAAAATCAGAATCTTTTAATGTTGTTAGCTAGACTGAGATGGACGTGCACGCTGGCTTTATTTAAAGTAGTTTGTGTTGTTTAAGTCAAGTTAGACTTCACATGGTGTCCCTTAAGTCCAAAAATATATTTAAGCAGTGAAAATTACATGAACTTGGATTTTTTCCTAAGTATCCCTTCACATTTATTAGAAACTAAACAGGCAGTTCCTATTTCTTACCTTAAAAAGGGGCCAGAAATAAGAGTTACTGTACAATAAATAAGGAGCTCTCAAGGTCAGATATTTGTACCTACCAGTTGCTCTGTAAAAGAAAGATGAGACTTTCTTCTCCCATAAAGATATACAGCCTCAAAAATCCACAGGAGAAGTTCCACTCTGTTCTATACGGTTGCTATGAGTCATAGCTGACTGGTAGGTAGTGAGTTCGGTACAATAGATATTCAAATGCTCAGAATCCCAAAATGGACCTGTCAGAGTTCAAATTCCTTTATTAAAATGAAATGTTTCAGTCTCTTTATAAGATGGCACAACTTCTCCACCTGTGCACAGAAACTTAAAAGGAAAAAGAAGCTTGGAATCAGTCTTACATCGGAAACACTTAACATGAATTTATCCATTGACTTCTGTGTAATAAAATGTGTTCTGAAATGTTTACTGCATAATTTAAAGAAGAAAACGTTTACATTTTCAGAATATTTATGAAAATTGCTATGAAGTCTTCCATTTTTGCCACTCTAAATTGCCCTCACACCTTCCATATAAATTGTGCCTTTATGATTTTCTTTTTTCTTTTTCACTCTTCTCAAAGCTGTTCTGGCTGTGCAATATCCAACTCGTAGTCTCTGTATATACCCATGCCAGAAAGAAAATCCTTCTAATCGATTCTAACTCAGTGACCCATAAGGACAGGGAAGAACTGCCCCTTTGGATTTCTTAACCTTTCAATCTTTTAGGCTGCAGAGTGACTGGTGGGTTCAAATCACTGTCTGGCCAGTCATGCTTGGCCAGAGGCATTTGCTCCTAGTGGCTGTTCCTTTTCCATAAGTATGTTGCTGTGGATGGTGCCTGGTGTAGTTATTTCCTCCTGGTTCTGAGACACTCAAGAAAGCAGTTACTGCTAGCCAAATCAAAACCAAATCGTGGATTTCCTAGATCGCCAAGGCATGTTTTTCTGACTGACATATCCTTTCAGTAGTCATTTTGACACTGTTCTGAAATGCAAAAACAACCCCAAAATCATAAGTGTGAGCTTGGAAAGATCCAAACGATTCTGATACAAGAAGGGAAGGTAGAGGTAGGTGAAGCTTGTCAGCCCGCGGGAGGCTTTTGACAGACAGGAAGTGCCTTGTCCTCACTGTGGCTGGTGGCAGAAGGGAATACACATCTGAATGCAGACCTTGGCCTAGGAAAAGTGCGAAACCAGTTTCACCTTGAGTCCATTTGAGCTTCTAGTACTGTTAGGGACCAAAGGAGCACGAGTGGCACCATGGGTTACACATTGGGCTGCTCACTCCAAAGTGAGCAAAGTGGTCGAAACCACCGAGCACTCTGGGTGAGAATTACGGCCTTGGACACCCACAGAGATCCTGATTTAATAGGTTCACTAGGAGTCAGACTCAACTTGAAAGCAGTTAGTTTCATTTTGGTTTAGGCAGCCCTGGTGACAGTGCAGAGTAAACATTCATTGAGTTGCTGTCTGTAAGGTTAGTGGTTCAAACCCACCAGTCATTCCTCGGGAGAAAGATGAGGTTATCTTCTCCTATGAAGATTTACCATCTTGGAAATCCATAAACAGGGTCACAATGAGTCAGAATTGACTTGATGGCAATGGGAATGGTTTTGTTTGACCTTAGAGATTCACTAGGTTTTTATGCTAATCGGAGTAGAACAAGCAAGCCCCTTTCTGCTTGTGGGTCACAAAGCCCACTGTCTTAAGACTCCCAGAGGCCCCTCATCCCCATTTGGAAAAGTGGCATCCTTTTTTGTTAAACTAAGAAATTATTTTAAATTTTGCCCAAAATTGGGTGTTTGGTCTTTGATTCTTTCTTTTGGTGTTTGGAAGCTTGTCCATGCTGCCTGCCCTGTTGTGTTATGGACAGTAACACTGCCACCTGCTGGCAGTTCACAGTTTTGCCACCCTTCCGGGACATGAAGAGATTACCAACTGTGAATGCTCTGTTCTGTTGCCTGTTTGCAGGATTGGGGTGGAGGATGTGGCATTGGTGGTACGTTTGCTTGTGCTGCAGAGAGAGATCCTGGTTTTCTGCCATATGTGAATTTAGGACCCCCTGTATTTGGTTTTGTTGTTTACCTTCTTGAGTTTGGGACAGAGTTGTGCATACCTTTGGAATGCATTTACATGTCCTTGAGTTTTGTGGCTGAGAGACCCTGGTGGTGGTCTGGGTTACTTGGGCTGTTAACTGCAAGGTCACCAGTTAGGAACCTCCCAGTCGCTTTTTAGGAGAAAGATGAGGCTTTCTACTACCATAAAAACTACCCTGGCCTATACAGATGAGATGAGTCACAGTTGATTCATTGTTGGTGAGTTGGGTTTTGATTTTGTTTTGTTTTGTGGCTAGGACTGATACTTTCAATTGTAGGCTTGTACATGGGAAAGGTTCCCATGTTTATTTTGTAATTGGTTCTTTAGACCAGAGCACTATTTCTGTGGAAACTCTGCTGTTTTAGCTTCTTCATCACCTGCCTGCTTCAGTTATCAATTACCCAGGGCCTTCCCACCCTCCACTTTGTGCTCACTCCCCCACAACCCTTAAGGCCTTCCATCTTGACTCTTCCTGGCCCTCTGTTCTTAAACTCCTTCCCTCATCTGGCCAGCCCAACTGGTGTGGCTGGGGAAAGTCACAGCATTGCACTCCTACCCCCTGCCCTAATCTCAAGAGTATGCTGCAGGCCTTGATGTCCCTGAGCTCTCACCTTAATGGCTGCCCAGTCCCTCCGTGCTTTCTGCTGTCTATCCCAGCAGCAGCTCACCAGCTGGTTCATCAGCCCACCTCCCTGGTCCCCTCCGTGGCCTCAGTGAATTCATGTGTGGGAAAGACTTATTTATTTTCCTGACTGAGTGAAATTTAGCATTTCTTCCCTTACAAGTGTAGGCAGCGCACCACTAGTTTTAGCAGTGCTTGTGGCTGCAGCTCCTGTGAAACTCAAGTTAGCTGTCAGTCTTACACATGTGGTACAGATCTTGACATACCGAATTCCATTTACTGTCCTGTGGAAGTTACAGCAATAATTAACCAAGTACATATATGACTGTAGCACAGTCTTTAGGTGTTATCAACTATGGTTCATTCTAATTGGTCTCCTTTTATTTCTTGTATGTTTTAGATATTTAAAAACAATTTCCCCCAAATGCCAAAAAGAGCCCATAAATAAAGGGTTAAGATTCTCTCCTGGCAAGACCTCTCCTGCAGAGGGTAGCTTGTACTCTTGGCCTTGATGTTCCTTTCCCCTGCTAGCCCCACCCCTCCAACCCCCCACCTTCCATGTGGGCATCGCCTCCTCTTGCTTCTTTATGCCACATGGGGATTTCAGAAACTTCATGGAGAAATTCCATTTTCATGGAGAAATTCCATTATCTTTTCATTCTGTTTTTCCATGCACCTCTTGAAGCCCTCTTGTACTCTTAACTCATTTAAAATAATAAAGCATATGGCATGTTCATAATATAAAATTCGAAATAGGACAAACAAGCTTGAAATGAAAAGGTAATCTTCCCTCCAACCCCCCGGTTCCACTTTCTGGGCAGCCTGTTCTGAAAGCTCTTAGGCACATTCTTCATGCTGCTCTAGTCTGGCTGAAGCCCTCTCTCTTCCCTGCTTGGGTTCCTGAAGGTGGAGGTGCCTTTCACTACAAAAGACACAACCTTTTCTTTCTCAGGCTGTGTTCTCTTTCCTGTGAAAATACTCATCACCGGAGAATTTGAAAGAAAGGTTTGCTTGCTTCTTGTCCCTGACTACTACTAGCCCTAGAGCTCCAACAGGCAAAGGACAGGCTTCACACACAGTAGGTGCTCAGTGGGTGATAAAGGAGTCCCTTGACTTTCAGCCTGACCCTGACCGTGGCCGATGCTGGACAGTAAGTGTAGAGGCTGGCTCAGGCTAGCCCCACAGTATAGCTGAGAGGATGTGGTGAACCTGTGTTTTTGTAAGAAGTTGAGGGGAAATGCCAACCAGCAGCACTACGATGAAAACAGGTTTTCTTACTGATCTCAAACATCACTGTCCAATGAAAAGTGCAGGCATCTATCGTGGACTTCAACAAAACTTGGCAGGCATACACTGGATGGGTTCTGGAGTTAAGTTGATGTTAAGGATGGATAGAATTTTGACCTGTGCATGACTATTTTTATAGTTTTTATAAAATTATCATTAAAATGCTTGTATGTGTTTATTATGTTAATATTCTACTGTTACTGTAGTGTTGCTAGCATTTAACTTAGTTCACTGCTACTCTGGCCCATCAGGCAAGTCAAGATGGACAAATAGATGGTAGCAGTTATACTCTGATGTGGAGAGGAGGGAATGACAAGGAAGTTAGGCCATTTCCCCTGTATGCCTCCAGGTGGCGCCACTGGGCTGGAGTCAGAAGGAAAGGAAGGTTTTTCTAGGAGGTAACCTAGGGGGTGGGGCTAGCCTCTGGGCAGGAGTGAGGGAGGGATAGATGATCTGCCCTTAGTCACTTAGTTTTTCCCTCTCTAGTCTAGAGACTTTTCTAAATTAGATGTTTATATGGCATAACGTGAAGCCAATGATTAAATCTTTATTATTTCATCTGATAATTTATATTTTTCTGTTTTTTCTTTCTATATCTATAGTCCCTTCAGAAACAGGTAATACTTTTTAATAGTCACTTTATATTTCTGCATCTTGCTCTTATAATGCTTTTGTTTCTTGCCATGGATATAATATGGAATTAATATATCCTGATATATGGCATTGTAAAAATTTGCATGCAAATTCCCAAAATACAATTAGATTTTAGCCAGTAGAGTGTTCTGAACTTAGCATAAATCCTGGTCATGGCATTATACTATGTGTTCAGTGCTCCAGCAGTGGTTTTTAAAAGCCTAACCATAGGTGTTAATAAAATAGCTAACACTTTGAGCATTTATGGTAGCAGGTATTGGTAATACTGGAGAGTGAAGCACCTGGCTCTTGCCTCTTCTAGTTAGTGACAGGGAGTGGCCCAGAAGGATGCATGATGTTTACACACACACACACACACACACACACACACACACACACGGGTGCAGCTTCCTGGGGCACCCCCTCACCCCTTATTCTGTGCTGACTCCTCACTCATCAGTCCTTGGGCCTCTGAATCATCTTTAAAGAGGAACCTGAATGGAAAAGACATATTTAAGTCAAGAAATATCATTCCTTATAGAATCGCACTTTGGTACGTCCTTTTTCCATTTATGCTTTGAAAGAAAACCATAGTGCTAAGTGATAGCATGTGAGTAGGTAATGCCTTCATAAGGCAGGTGCTGCCAACAGAAGCTGTGAAATGCACGTGTAGCATTGGAACCTAGGCCACTTATAGTGCCCCCAGAACCCAGGCTGCTGTGTAGTCAGGAGAGTAAAGCCTCTGGTTTAGAAGTCCCTTTTTGACTTTGTCTAGATTAATGCCAATGTCTTTGAGGTATTTTTCTTGAGCAATTTAGCCTTTAATTTGAACACAGTCCAATCCCTAGTCTTTCCTAAATACTCTCCAGGAGACAGACAGACACACACCACACTGTCTCCTCACCCTACACCTCCTCCCCCAAAGAGGAAAAGTGCAGTCATATGGACTGTAAAAAGCACTAGCTGCTTTAATAAAGCTCTATTTCTTGAATAAAAAAGTTACTATCTTTAGGGCTAAATTTCTAACTAAATGCTTTGCTTTATTTATTTAAACATGTGCCTTTCCAAAGTATTAGGATTAAATCACTATCAGGATCTTAAATATAAACGTTTATCAGCAGTTCCTGTAATGTTAAGAAGACAGAGAGTAAGTCTGTGCTCAGCTGAATGTCAAATGTGGCCAGTATTTAGGGCTTTCAGTGGCTTCCAGCTGCAAAGGGGTGTTGGGGAAAAACAGTGTTGGCTTGGTGGACCCTCCTGAGAGCATCAGCCCAGGCTGTACCCCACCCCTCCCCCAGCTCAGGCTGCTGCTGCACGCATCTCCTGAGCATGCACTTGCCTCTTAGAATGGTGAGTTTCGGATGAACTGTTGGGTGGAGCTGATAGCTAATGCTTCCATTGCCCGGGGTGCACATGCCCATACACTCCCCCATTCCCCCTCACACCCACTGTGGGATGAGAGGAGGGGCCAAGAGGCTTGCAGTGCCATAACTGAATTTGCGGTCTTGGAACTCTTACTTTGGCATCACTCTGCCCACTAGGGACAGTAGTATCCATTACAAGAGAGTAACCTACTAACCCCACCTACCTTCCAGTTGATTCTGACTCACAGAAACCTTACGGGTGAGAACCTTTCTTACACAGAGCAGTTGGTGGGCTTTTTTTTTACTGTCCCCTTGCAGTTAGCAGCCAAGGGCTTAAGCTGCTGTGCTATGAGGGCTCCTTGAATGTAGGTCAAAAAGTATTGCCGTTAGATTCCAGTTCATACATGCCTGGGTTTGTTTAAAAACAAAACACGTTTAAACATGTCTCGCCATCAGTGGATACCCGTAGTAAGTTATCTCAGGAATACACTTGTGTTGCATTCAGGGTGCCTTCAAAAAATCAAAAAGATACTTTTTGTGCCATGGAAAGAAATGATTTTGTGGTCAGGGCCATTATCTTATTTTTAGCAAAACTCTAGGATATGTTTCCAGATCATTGACACTTTGGAGCAAAGTTTACACAAAGGCTACCCCACATGAAAACGTTTCAGATGGATCAAACTTTTTAAGGAAAGTCCTGACCTCAAAGGTTAGCCAAGAGAGGGAAGACTGTCTCCCCTGAAGAGGCCATACTCTAGTTGATGTCCAGAAGTGGGTGGAAGAAGTGACCACTGGCACAGGAGGCTACTGAAGAAGCAGTGCTTATAGCTCACCGCTTCCTGTTTCAAGTGAACATCTTGGCCAGGAACCTTTTGGCCAGATGGGCACCAAGAGCAGGGTGTGAAGATGAACTAGATCAAAAAGCAAGCTGGCCTTCCTATGAGGCTCCTTAGCAAGCTAAAAAAAAACTTAGGACAATTTTATGACCGATTTATAACCACAGGTGAACCTTGGATTTACGAGAATGATCTTTAGAGCAAGATCCAATCAAAACACTGGCTTATCTGAAGGGAACTGCGGGTTTTGTACAAGGCAGAGAGGTCAGCTCTAGAGGTTGTAACAGCTGAATCTTGGGATTCTAGAGGGATAATCGTGATAGGGTGTGTCCCCCCCAAAAAAAAGAAAAGTTCATGGGACAACCATGGGTGTTTGTTGAGAAGTTTAAAGGAAATTTAAAACTACATTATGAAGAAAAGGCTGAGAAAGTTTAGCTGAGGAGTTTTTCATCATAATATACCTTCTCATTTTTCCAGGGTAGCAAAGACTGCCCTGCTAGAATTTTATTGGAATCTTTACAACCCTGATCTTGTCCCTTCAGGCTTCTTTTTGTTTTCAAATCTCAAAAGAATGTTGCAAACGAGCACACTTTGAGTTCCTCACGGATGGCAAGCAAACCTTATGATGTGTAAAGTAAAGAGCACAGAATTCTTTGGTGAAGGGTTAGAGAGGAGGAAACAATGCCTCCAGAAGTGTGTAGACCTAGATGGAGGCTCTGCGGAGAAACAGCAGCTTCACATCTCGATATACATGTATTTTAATGCATGTTCCTATGTTTTTATAGCAATACTGTTCTTATAGCAGTGCCAGATCAAAAGTCCCGCTGGAGCTTTTTTGAGGGAAGCTAGCGAGGCTGTTGATTGTTCCTTCCCTCCCTCTTGGTGGCAGCTTTGCAGCAAGGACAAGCACACAGTGGCCGGGGGCCAGGGCTCCCCATGAGAACCAGGGCAGCAGACTAGTTCCCCAGCCTGTGGTAGGTGCTGTCCTGGTGGTCTGGCCCTTCAAACTGCAGTCCTGTATCGGCAAAGCCTTTTCTCACCAGTGGACCTTTATTTAAGTGGCTCCTAACCCCCTAACTAACTGTCAGCCATCAGTTGAACAACTCTTCAGTGACAGCAGCCGAGGAGGTGAGAACACAAACGAGTGTGAGAGTGGGCATGGGGAGGTCTGCCCCTGAAGTATGAGCTGGCTGGAGCTGTAGACCTGAGTTTTGTATGTAGCAGGATAGCTGTAGGAAAAGTGGGATCTGTGAAAGGATGGCCTCTTAGAATAACTGTAGGACATTGACCATTGCAAATGGACTTGGGTGTGCAAAAGCTAAATAGTCTCCATGTTTGGCTGCAGGTCTAGGTGATCAGTGGGTCCATTAAATGGAGTTTGTGTGGTCACTTTCTGAAACAAAATAATTATTTTTAGTAGGATTTGATGTAACTACATTAAAATTTGTTTCATGTGGTTTAAAATTCTTTGGGAAGCGAACTCCTGACTGTTCACAATTCCCATGTGTGTTTGTGTAGCCAGTTGTGTGGTTGTACAATCTTTCATTTGAAACTGCCTTTTGCAGATGCTTTTACTGACTCTGCTCTCAGTGCTAAAGTGAACGGGGAACACAAGGAAAAGGACCTGGAGCCATGGGATGCCGGCGAACTCGCCACCACTGCTGAGGAGCTGGAGGCTCTGGAGAACGACGTGGTAAGTCTGCCTCTACAGCTAGCTTTGAGCACAGGGCTTCCGATCTCATGATTGTATTTAAGTATATATTTTGTGTTTTTCTTTTTAGTTAACTGTCCTTAGAGCAGCAGTTTAAATGTGTAAATAAATATTTCACTACTGTCCCCAGGCAATAAATTAAGAAATAAAATGTTCTTGCAGGGTTAAATGGGAGTGCTGTCAATTCTCCTGGCTATACCTTAATTAGTTCTTTTTATGATTAAAATAAATAACACAGTGAGCAACTTGCACATTTAAATTGGAGAGTGAGGAGCAGTTTTGAAAATATTGTCCCGAGTGCTCTGCAGAGTACCGCAGCCTAAGCAAGGGTGTCTTGGGCGAATTCTGTGGTCTCCTTAGAGTTGAGGTCAAACTGGGACATTCTAGGCCTCTTGTTGGGGAAGAGTGCCCCTAAGTTAGAAACTGCAGTTCGCTCACATTTGAATGAAAGCAACAAATAAGTTCCGTAGTCTTAAAATAAGCCTGTTGTTACATATTCCATCTTTTTCCATAGCACATACTATGTATAAATCAAACCTTTGATAAAGGGGCTATCCTTAGAATCCCGTGGTTTTAATGTAGCGATGTGAATAAAACAAAAGTACTTGCCAAAAATGAGTGTTTAGGCAGTAGAATTTGAATTGGTTAAAGACTGTTTGAGGGTAACATTGAGGGTAACAGAGAAACCTGTGTAACAATTCTGAGTGGGATGTTGAAGGCATTGCTTGTTGTTTGCCCAGGTTTAATACTGGGAATACATTAGCCCTCATCCTGTGTAAGACATATCCATGGACACCTAATGGGAGGGTTCTTGACATTGCTGTGTCTAATAGGGAAGAATTGGAAACATAATAAAAGTCCACCAACAGGGCATCAGTTAAATAGGTTTATGTGCCTCTGTTCAGTTGAGGTCCTACTTATCTATGAAAAGGACCAGCATGTCGTTGTGGAAAGGTTGCCAGTACAAAGCAATGAGATCTTAAAACCGCTGATTATAGTCTTACCATATGCATAGAAGCTGTCTGGAATTATGTCCGAGAGCTGTCAGTAACAGTCATCTACATACACTGGCTGGAGCCCTGGGGGCTGGGCGGATTATGAGTTGGGTTGCTATCAGCCACTCCTTGGGAAATGATGAGGTTCTCTGTTCATGTAAAGAGCTACAGACTTGGAAACCTACAGGGTTGCTATAAGTCAATATGGCAGTGAGCTTTTTGTTATTGTTTAGTAGACACAGTTGGGAAGATTTTTGCTTTTTGTTGGATGTCTTTCTGTGTGGTTTGGTTTTTAAAACTGAACCTGTGATAGGGAACTGTAAAACCCTCATGTAGTTGTGACTCCCTGTCCATGCACACCCAATGGCTTTCCTGACTTCACCATCTGATCTTATTAGTGGAGTAGCAAGGAGGGTCAAGTTAAGGCTTTGGAGCTGATGTTGCATGGATCACACTCAGATGACACTGTGTCCTGTCATCTGAGAGGGGCAGATATGTTTGGTGTTTAGCCCCTTCCCACTGTCAGGCTCAGGTGTTGGAGGATCAGAGAGGAATGATTGCCAGACCCTAATGTTCCCTTCTGCCTCAGATGGGTGAATTCTAACATGTAGAACGCCACCTAGCTTTGGAGTGTAGTTGTGTTCTGCCATTCCTTGTAGGACCACAGAGCTATGGAGTTATGACATTGAGGCCTGGATTTCTGTGACCCCACAACTGCTAGTAGCAGACCCAGGTTCTGTTGTGCATTCATCCAGTGTTGCCATGCTGCCTTCCCAGCAGGAAGGGGAGGAGAGTGGGGATCAGGTACTGTGGGGACACAGCGGTGAAGCCTTTGTGTCCCCCGTGCCCCTCCTCCCCAAACACTGGTCTTCGTTTCTGGCCATCAACAAGCACCTATTGTCCTGCACAGACCTGATGAGCAAGTGATCTCAAAATAGGGAAGCTGGTAGAAGGAGGAGAGAACTCGTATCTACAGGAGCCTCTTTGGTACAGCAGCTAGAATACCCTCCACTTCATTGTTTTGTGTAGTTAGGTATCAACCTGTAGGGTCTGGTAAAAGATGAAAAGCTTGCCCTTAAAATGTGTTGAAATTCTTGCCTATTAAAAACCGCTTAGATGTTACTGGTACAGTCTTGTATAGTATGTTAAAAATTGGTAGTGTAGTATTGATATGTAACTCAATTAAAGGGGACAAGTACTTTGTCTTTTTGAAAAAATGAGCTTCATTTTCTTCTAGTCTAATGGATGGGACCCCAATGATATGTTTCGATATAATGAAGAAAATTACGGTGTAGTGTCTACGTATGATAGCAGTTTATCTTCATATACGTAAGTTTTTAAAGTTTGCTTTTGTTTTAGGGCATTTGTGTTTGATTTTTCATTAACTTAAATTGTAGTATTGAATGAGTGTTTCAGTTTGGTTTTAAGCCAGACAAATTATGTGAAAGAGTTACTTTGTTAGTATGTAGGCTGAGTAATTACCGTTAGAACAGATGTAGTTTGCCTACATCTTAATGCTATGCTCTAAATAAATTTTTGTTTTTAATTGAAGTTTCAAAAATATAAATTTGCAGGGGTACAGCAGGTTATGGGGGACTGGTAAGTTTAGCCAATTTTTAAAAATGTCATACTGTTCCAAGGAAAGGTAACAGAACAAATTAAATCTTAAATCTTGATTAATGAACAAATGACTAGATCACCCTAATTCCTACAGCTTGACTAGTGTTGCACACTTTCGACTTTGATATAGTGGTAGATGATATAGTGGCACATGAACCGTGATGTCCCCTTTCTCCTCCTCCTGTCTCAGGGTGCCCTTGGAAAGAGATAACTCTGAAGAATTTTTAAAACGGGAAGCAAGGGCAAACCAGTTAGCAGAAGAAATCGAATCAAGTGCACAGTACAAAGCTCGGGTGGCCCTGGAAAATGACGACAGGAGTGAGGAAGAAAAATACACAGCTGTTCAGAGAAATTCCAGTGAACGAGAGGGGCACAGCATGAACACCAGGTACTTAAAGGAAATATCTGTGCGGCCTTTTGGGTCCACAACACCAGCTCTGTGTGGGAAGGTGTGCTGAAGAAAGCTATCTCCTCTCCTCTAGTGAAGTAGTTTGGCTAGACTCTAGCCGCTAGAGAATGCAGACGGACCTGCTTTAGGATACTTTTAAGTCAGCTCTATGGAGCCAAGTGTTGGGCATAGAAGGAAATTCGAATCAGGGCCTCACAGAGCTGGTGTTTAAAGAATAACTAACTGCTGGACATGGGGGGAAGCACGCACATAACGGAATTGCCCTGCTCAAAGGTCTAAGAACATTCCAAGCAAGCACCACCGACGTAGCCTGAGAGTTCTGAGAAAGCCTCCCAGAGGGGTGGTGCTGTGACAGGCTGTTCTGAGAGGGTCATTGTCCTGGTGCAGGTTGAAGGTACAGAGCTGGCAGCTGGTGATAGGACCTGAGGCTGGAAAATGGGCTGGGCCAGCCAGAAGGATTTTGCATGCCGGAGTTTTAAAAGGTGGCACCCTGGGCCTAGGGTGGCATGAAAGAGCCTTAGGGCGGAAAGGACAAGCTGAAGCATGCTAGTTAGGACATTGAAATAGTTCCACTGTGAGAACTTGGTGACCACCTGGGCCTGGGATGGTGCTGGAAAAGCTTAGCAGACTGACAGGAACTTAGACCCAGACCAAGGACAGAGCCGATATGACCATCCCACAGACTCAGCCTCCCATTTATTTACACACACGTGTGAGAAACCCCTCTCACTGCCTGTCAGGGCAGGAAATGCATCCTGTCTACCCAAACTGGCAGGTGGGAGTTTGGTCATTTGAGTTCAAGTGTCAGGTGAACTATTGAGACCGAGTGACTGATGTGCAAGTATGGGGTTTATCAGCATTGCTGAGTGTGAAGCCATACGCAGACAGCAAGAGAAGTGATCTGAGATCTCAGAGAAGAAAGCCAAAAAAGAAGAAAGTTTCAAGGAGACACATGCTAGAATGAGTCATAGGAAGGACAAGTGGTATGAGAATGAACAGAGATATCAACTCAACTTTGTACTGAGGTGGCGGGAGGACGTGAGAAGCAAGAGAGAGACTGGGCCAGCATGGATGTCGGATGGGTCTGGAGGAGAGTGAGGAGGTCAGGTCCAGTTTGGAAGGTTTTAGGGCAAGCCGGCCCTTCTGTCTGAATCACTTCTCAGTATGTTTCCTGGGCCTGTTGTCTATGAGTATAAAATGATTTGAGAGGCTCTTTCATTTTCAGGGAAAATAAATATATTCCTCCTGGACAAAGAAACAGAGAAGTCATATCCTGGGGAAGTGGGAGACAGAATTCACCGAGGATGAGCCAGCAAGGATCGGCCTCCATGTCATCGAGAGCCACCTCACACACTTCAGATTTCAACCCGAATTCTGGTTCAGACCAAAGAGTAGTTAATGGAGGCAAGTATTTTAGCCAAATTTGTCATTGTCATCGACCAAGTATATCATTTTCTAAATACTTACAAGAGTGGTTTCTGTGGAGTGGTTTTCACATTAAAATTAACTCAGATTTGCTTTTGTGAGTATCAGAATGTTGTACAAGTCACTGTATGTACAGTACGTAGCATGAAGAAATAGCTATGTGTTAAAAACAAGTGCTGCATGTAACCCAAAGATAATGCACTTGGTGCAACAATTTACCATATAAAGAAATTGGAAATTTTAGATAGGTTCTTGTTTTTAAAGTGGTTTCTCATTTTAGATAATAAAAGCATTTAGCCTTTATTTTTATGGAAGAGCCTCACCTATGTGAAGGTGCTTGGTAATTCATATAGATTTTCATTAGCTTCTGTTTCTTGTATTTCTATTCTTTTTACTTCAAGAAAGGATCTGAGTTAACTTGCAATACAAGACTTGATCAAGGGTTGTGTGAAGAAGAGAGAAATAAGCTCAACAAAAATAACTTAGTCTAAGGGTGGCTGTTCAACTTAGCCACTTACTTAAAAGACACATCTGTCACTAGTAGATAAGTCATAAACTCTAGGTTGACTGTAGCTCACAGGATTTTACAATTCGAGCCCAGGGATTTGGGACCTCAGGCCTGTGGGTAGTGGGACAATGTGGTGATCACTAACAGCTATCAGAGCATGTTCACCCACATCCAGATGAGAGTGGACATTCTGTTTTAACTACTTCAATTTGAAAAGCTGGAAACAAATAGAGAACACTGAGTTTACAGTTTCATGAAGCCTTTTCTCCAGAATTCCTCTCCAAACACCACCCATTACATGAGTATTTTCTAGACATAGTATTTGGGGATGAGAATTCTTTGCTCACAAAATAAAGAGTTTTAGTTGTTCAAAAACCAACTTTTCAAAGTAAATACAAAATCAAAAATTTAAGAAGGGGTCTAGGAAGTGGATGATACTCCATTGTGTGGACTTGTGGAGAGGAGCCCTAGACTCACCCCCAGACCCAGGTAAGTGGGGTAGGTGCTGTCACTGTTAGCTCTTCCGCCCTGTCCCCAATGTGGGGTGACTGCTCTGTAATCACATTGTTTCTTAAGCAGTCTCTTAAGTAAGCCTGTAACAAAATAGATTATGCCAAGGGTGCCCTTTGCTTTTCCAGTTTAATAAGACAGTGTTTCTGAAAAGACAGTGAGTGGTAGCCGCTGTCACTCCTGTGCTTCTGCTTCTCCTACGGTAGGGCTTGCCTAGTGGGAAGTCTGGAAACAAGATGAAAAGCACAGACCATGGTGTTTGTAATTGGACACAATCGTCATGACTGCTTACTATATTCCAAAAGTTAAAGCTACTGTAGCAGAGCAGATAAAGCCAGGTCCTTGTGGTTTATTGTGGGAAGTCCCCACGTGCATGACATGAGAGACTCCTGAGAGACAGCTCCAGCCCCAGGAGAACAGGCAGAGTCTGAACTGCCGCCTCCACTAGTGTTTGTAGATCCTCATTAACCCTTTGGGAACGTGTGTTCATTTCAACAGACTTAACTTTAAGGAGGTTAACGTAAAATGTGAATTTATGTCAGTTAAGTTATGCTAAAACGTAGCACAAATCAAATGACTGTCCTCAAAGGGTTAAAATGTACAAGAAATCATTTTTGTCATTTTACTTTTTTTTCTGTTTACTTTTTTCCCTCATTTTTTTCTTTAGTTTTTATACTTTCCTTCATATCATTTGTTCTGTCAGGTGTTCCCTGGCCATCGCCTTGCCCATCTCCTTCCTCTCGCCCACCTTCTCGCTACCAGTCAGGTCCCAACTCTCTTCCACCTCGGGCAGCCACCCCTACACGGCCGCCCTCCAGGCCCCCCTCGCGGCCATCCAGACCCCCGTCTCACCCCTCTGCTCATGGTTCTCCAGCTCCTGTCTCTACTGTGCCTAAACGCATGTCTTCAGAAGGTACAATTCCACAATTTGTTCATGTTTCTGTTTGTCTTTGTTTAGCTCCGATGTGAGTTTATAATTACAAAAGTTTCCTCTTCATTATTTAATAGCCTATATGACATCTGTGTTTTGATTAAAGCTATGTCTGTTCACCATTTGTTGATAGAAGAGAGGGGTCATCAGTGCTGAGTGAAGCGATGATGTTCTTCTTGAGTTGGGAGGAGGGTGGGCTTCTGCCTGGTGGTCATGTTCCTGGACATTTCCTGGGAAGGCTGCGCCACAGGGCCGTTTCCCGCTTGGTGAGCCCCTGGCCATGGAGGGGCTGCCTCTCCGCAGCCTCAGACTCCCGCAAGAGCTTGGCACTGGACAGCTCCTTTGCCGAAGCACAAGTGGGAGTGGGGGCTGCAGCCTCCACCTCAGATCGCTGTCCAGTCCACTGTAATGGCTTGAGGACTGAGGATGTTAGCTGTCAGTGTTCTATAGTGAAAGGCTACTGCCATCTGGGAGAGCCCTGGATCTAAGATAAGGTATCAATAAGTGCTCTATATGAACTTGTATCCGGGTGTTTTTTTTTCCTTGCCCTTGCCAAAAATAAGAATAAAATCCTATTATTCTGATTCTGTATATTAGCTCACCATTCCTGCTATTAAAATACACGGAGTTGGTGTGAAGAGGGCACATTCTAATTTAAAAGCCTGTTTTCTGTATGGTAATGCTTTTTTTTTGGGGGGGGGGTAATGCTTTTTTTGATGCTAGTTCGGAATATTAATGTTGAAATTTTGATCTGATAACACGTTAAAATTTCAGTCCATACAGCTTCTATTGGGATAGTAAAATTTTCTGGCACACACCGCTTCCCTGGAGAAAACCATGTGATCTGCTCATAACTTGGGGAGGGGATGAGGTGGGGTAGGGTGACCTGGGCAGAGGTGTCTAGCCTGAAGCAACAGGTCTCCTTCAGGCTCAAGCTGGCACCTATCCTTCTCAGAAGTGCCAGCAATCATGAATGTGTGATGTTTCCTGCATGCGGGTATGCTTGCTAAATCTCGGCTCTTACTTGAATCGGACGGAGTGTGTGTGTGATATGGGCGTGAAAGGGCTGCTTGTGCACACAGGCATTTACTCAAAGACGTAAACCTCCGTTATTCAGAGATGGTGTGTTCTGTTTTTCCTTTTTCACTGATTTGAATTAAAAGGTATCCTTTTTGAATTGTCACCTTCAGAAGCAAAACTATTAGTAAATGCAGTGTTTTAATTCAGGAGACTGTATTTTGTGTTTATCAACATTTATATTAATGAAAAATGTGTTTGCTGAAGTTATATATGATTTCATGGAGTTGTACCATCAGACATTCTTGGCCCCTTTCCATTGGATTGGGTAGGACAAAACAGACAGACCCCTTGTTGTGGTGCTCTGGTCTCTGGCTACCCTTCACGGAGCTAGTATCTTGCCACCATTTCTCCAACAGTGTATGTGCTCTGCATGTCTCTGTACCCCATTTTGGTCATTCTCGCTGGCCCAGACCACTTTTTAATGCCGTTGCAGCCTTACTAGATTAGACCACAGTATAATGTAGACATAATCTGTCTAGGTCCGGGGAACCAAAAAATCCTAGGTCATCACCTTTTAAGATGATAGTCATTCACCTTATTGTGGTGGTCTGGAGTGGAACCTGAAGGATCTCTGAGACCTGCCAATATTTAACTGTAGGTGCCCAATTCTTGTCTGTCTTGGCTATGACACCCTTCTCCAGTTGAAGATTAGTATGTACCGTATGTGATTAGCATCTTTTTTGAAATCATGCCCATGAGTGAATCCACCCCCACACATGATCAGTCTAGCCTGAAGTCAGCGGCGGGCAGGAGAGCAGCCCTGGCTGTCACAGGAGAACTTGCTTTCTCTGGGTGCTGAGAGCCAGTGCTGCTGCCAAGTTTCTGGGACAAGAGCCATTCAGGCCTGTTTCCATCTGTGTTCCAATGCACTGTGGACTCCTTCAGAAAGAATTCACTGTCAGGATGACAAAATGAAGGCTGTAGAATTCAGGCAATTAATACAGTGCCTGTATCCACCTCAGATCTCTACTATCTGGCCTCACAAGTCAAACACTCCCTGCACTGCCTACAGGTGAGAGCTGCTCTAAGCCATGGCTCATAAAGTGGATCGTCGTGTCAGCAGGAGTAGATAGTCTGAAAATTTTGAAGAATTTAAGAAGAGTATTTGCATAGGTGTTTCAGTAGTAAAAACATTTGTCAGGATTGACAGTCTTTATCAAATATCATTTTTTTCCCTTTTAATTTTGAATGTGGGAAATTTGGAGAAGAAAGCTAAAAGTCAAAAATGAGTCCCATCATATCATCATAGCTCTTACATTGTACTATATTTATTTTTATGTGTACAAATAATATAAACAAATCCTTAGAATCTTTTAGGGATATGGCTTTGGATTACTTGATTTCTTGCCACCAACTTCATTCTTCTCTTTATTTAAAAATGAAGGGAAATAAAAATTGATTATAACGTGGTGACATTCCACACAATAGTACGGGCAAAAAGATGTATGGATTTTTTTGTTTTGTTTTCTTTAATCCAAGAGTTGCTAAACTACTGTTGTTGAGAGGGAGAGAGAGAGTGTGTTTGTGTGTGCACACGTGTGTGCTTTAGAAATTCCCTACTGATGGATATTGTTGCATTTATATCATGTTCACTGTTCCTCTTTCCTCTTTTAGGGCCTCCAAGGATGTCCCCAAAGGCTCAGCGACACCCTCGAAATCACAGAGTTTCTGCTGGGAGGGGTTCGATTTCCAGTGGCCTAGAATTTGTACCCCACAACGTGCCCAGTGAAGCAGCTACTCCTCCAGTGGCGAGGACCAGCCCCGCAGGGGGCACCTGGTCAGCAGTGGTCAGTGGGGGTAGGTAACACTTGGCTTGGGGCAGAATGACTGGGGCCCATTTGTCCAAGGTCTAAGCTCAAGCTCTGGTAGAGGAAGGGTGTCTGAGGTGCTGTTGGCCAGTCAGTTCAAATGGTGGGATAGCCAGGACTTGGAGAGCTTACTCCATTGCTCATTTACCATGTTGTAGAACAAATTATGTTGTCACTGGGAATTTCCATGTTCCCAGTCAGCAAAAGAATTCCTGCCTGGGTCTGCTGTGTAGGATTCTGGCCAGATTTCTGTGTGGTTGTAAATATGAATATATATGCTTATAGTGCAGTGGGTTTCTGTAGTACCTGTTGGTGTCACCTTTTCCTACTTCTGCATCACACCCAAAGCAGAAGGCAAAGTTATCTACAATTTGTCTAAGGAATATAGTAACAGCAGCTGAAAAATATCCGTGGACAAGAGTGTCCAGTCAGGCTAAGGCATTGGCTACTAGACATTCCTGGTCTTCTAGGCTTAGCGCCCTTGGGCCCAGAAATCCAGAGGCAGGGCGGGATTGCTTGTTTTAGGGCTGATCTATCTAAAACAGCCCACAGTGCCGTGAAGTGAAACAAAAAGACCTTTAAACGGAAGCAAAGAAACACAATCTAGCTCTGCTGTGTGTCTGGTTTCTGTTAATAAGTGTGGTTCCTCAACATCATGTCACGCATAATTATACTGCAATTTCTTTTGCCCATGCCATTTTCTTCCTGGTCTTCAATTATGTTAACAACCAAATCACATTTTAAAACCTTTATTTCCTGAGCTGTACTTTTTATCACTTGACAGTACTCAGATGATCTGGAACTGGATTTTGAGAGTAATGACATGATTATAGAGCCAGAGAGGAGAACAGAGTTGTTCTTGGCCCACCCAGCACTGCGTCACAGGATAGACCTCTGAACTAACTGGGAAAATGGTGCCTGTTGAAGAGTAGCTTCCCCTGATGACTTCAAAATAAAAGACCTGCTTAACTGAAGCATTTTCTCTTAACCATTGGTTCCAAGCTCTGGACATGCATTTATAGTGGAATAAGAAGGCTGTGACATAGTTGTTAGACTGCCACAGATACTACCACTAGAGAGGAAGCCCTTGACCGAGGTGGACTCAACACCGGCCTGGCCTGTAGCAGTGGGCAGACTGGTGGTCAGCATGGCGCCAGACCTAGCCGACTAGGCAGAGAAATCACTTGAGAGTATGAATGAACCTTGGTTTGGCTCATCTTTCCCTTCTGGCAAAACTGAGACCCTGCTTCCCTTCGTTGCCAAGCCCTGGATCTTGATGCCGACAGAGAGAGAGAGAGAGAGAGAGCGCGAGCGAGCGAGCGTGAGCATTTGAGGTTAGTTTTGTCACAACCAACTCAACAGCAACAAATGCGCTGTTGAAAGATGGTTTAGCTTCTTACTTGGAGCAGAAGATATGTACCTGCTAACCAGGTCTCCCTTCCTCTCTGCACTTGAGAGTGTTGTTAATTTTATCTTAACAAGTAGCCGTCATCATGCCTAAGCCACCCCTTTTCAGTGTCTTTTATAATACTGCCTTTTCCTTGTCAGACTGGTCTTGTCTTTCAAAATTAAACCCTTAGAGTTGAGGAGGAATTCCCAGTTGTACTCAGGTATTAGTAATTGCTGTTCATCAGATATGTGTGCTAGTGACAGCTCTTACTACTGTTCCTAAGACTCTGGGGAGGCAGGCAGGTTGGTGGGGTCAAGAGTCACTGAGAAGGGTCCAGAGAGCACTGCTCAGCTGGGATTTTGAGAATCTCACTCTGCTTTCAGGAAAGGATGTTTGAGCAGAGACTTTAATGGTTAACTTTCCCCTCTGTTCTAGTTCCACGGTTATCCCCTAAAACTCACAGACCCAGGTCTCCTAGACAGAGCAGTATTGGAAATACTCCCAGTGGGCCAGTCCTTGCTTCTCCCCAAGCTGGTACCATTCCGACAGAAGCTGTTGCCATGCCTGTGCCCGCTGCCTCGCCTGCACCTGCCAGCCCAGCATCCAACAGAGCGGTCACCCCGTCTACTGAGGGTGCGTACAGGAGGGAGGCTTCCTTCTCTCATTGTAGGTGGGGTAGGGGCTGGTGCTAAGGGCTTAGGTCTGGGAAGTGCTGTGTTGTCTTATTTCAGAGCACGTGTTCACTTTTTGCATAAGTGAAAGGAGTTTAAGCAGCTCAACTACCGTGTTTCATATGCCTGCAAAGAAGAATAGACTCTTATTAAATAGATGGGTTCATTTCTAGAAAGATAGGAAACCAAAATTGTTGTATGTATTGTTCCATTTTTACATCTCCTTTATCTGACTTTGAATTTAATTTTTTTCTTATCTTATAGCTAAAGATTCCAGGCTCCAAGACCAGAGGCAGAACTCTCCTGCAGGGAATAAAGAAATTAGCAAGCCCAGTGAGGCAGCAGCTAGTTTTTCAAAAGCTGAAAATAAAGGTTAGAAATTTTGAAACTCAGTAGGCTTAATTTCAAATACCTGGATGGAGTGTTTGGTCAGTACTTTTTCAAGTTCTGTGCATACTCAAATGCATAGCTTGACAAATGCCCAAATCTGTAGTTACTATGTTGACAGTTTCGTCACTTTTCAATATACCTATTTTCATAGGTAGCATTCTATACTAAAAACATCTTTAAAGTTTTTATTTTTTTAAAAAACAGATTATTGGCACTTCATCCACATATACAATTCAATAGTTCATTCATCAGGAAGAGTTGTACAATCATTACCACAATCAGTTTTAGAACACGTCCTTTTTCCTTGTACTCATTGTTAGAGTAATTATTGTTTTTTAAATTGTGATAAAAATATATGCAACAAAACATTCTCCAATTCAAAAATTATCTCTAAATAAAGATTAGGAGTGTGTATCTGACAGTTCTTAATTTTACAGGTATTTCACCAATTGTTTCTGAACACAGAAAACAGATCGATGATTTAAAGAAATTTAAGAACGATTTTAGGGTAAGTGTCATAATTGGACTAATGGATTAGACTATAAAGAGATTAAGCTCTACTAAGGATTTTTATATTATCTATTTTTCAAAGAGTGTTGAATATTCACTCAGAAACATGGAACCATTAGAATGGTAACAGGTATCAAGTGCAGGAGACGATAATCTTGACATTGAAAAGCTTCCTGTCAGACCCATAAGTGGTCATTGAACATTCACCTGATTCTCTGGGTCGCATGAAGCTGGATTCTAGTGGAGCCAGGACCAAGGTATCTCCCCCTGGTTGGCAGGTGGGAGGTAGCTTGGACCTGGTGTTTGAGATCGTCAGGGGCTTGCTCTGGAAGCTCGAAGGTACTGATTATGATGGAAACCTCTATAATCTCATTTCTCTATCCTTGAAGTTTTTTCATTCTTTCGTGAGTTGTTTACTCTTAAGATACTGGTGATAGCAGGCTCGGTTTTGAGACCAACTCCAAATATCCGCTTGCAACCTAACAGCAAAGATGAATGAATCCAAAAGCAAAGGCCACCCGTTCCCAGTCTGTCTTCTAGCTTTCTGCCTTCATTCTCAATGGCAACATTCAAAATTCACATATTTCCATACTCGAGTCTACTTTTCTCTTCAGCCTCAACACTCAAAATGGTTGTGCATTAACATTTTGAAGCAATATTCAACACACAAACAATACAAAGAATAATGAATGTTATTAACTTAACCAGTTTATCAAATCAAGCATTCCAACAGCAGCATCCTTTTTTACCTATTTCTCTCTTCTCTCCCATGCATGTAGATGGTTTTTTTTTAAAGCCTTTTATTTTTATTTTATTTATTTTTTTTTATCGATAGGTATGATTTATTTATTTTTTCTTTTTTAACATTTTATATTAGGGGCTCATACAACAATTATCCCAATCCATACACACATCAATTGTGTAAAGCGCATTTGTACATCGTTTCTCAAAACATTTTCTCTCCATTTAAACCCCCGACATTAGGTCCTCATTTTTCCCCTCCCTCCCCGCTCCCCCCTCCCTCATGAGCCCTCGATAGTTTATAAATGGGTATTTTGACATATCTTGCCCTGTCCGACGTCTCCCTTCATCCACTTTTTGGTTGTCTGTCCCCCAGGGAGGAGGTCACACACAGTTCCATGTAATCGGTTCCCCCATGTAGATGGTTTTATACAGAATCTTGATTTTTATGTGTCATGCTGTAGGTATTCTTGTCTCTAGTTCTTATTCCCCCCTCAGCATTTTTTAGGGTTTTTTGTTGTTTTGTTTTGTTTTCATATTCATTCCTCTCTGAGAGTATACTTGTACTGGATTTATTATCATCATGGAAAGTTTTTTTTTTTTTTTAATCTTATTGGGACTCATACAGCTCTTACCACCACCCATACATATATCCATTGTGTCAAACACATTTGTATATATGTTGCCATCATCATTTTCAAAACAATTTCTTTCTACTTGAGCTCTTGATATCATCTCATTTATTTTTCTCTTTCCCATCCTCCCTCATGAACCCTTGATAATTTATAAATTATTATTTTTTCATGTCTTACACTGACAGACGTCTCCCTTCACCCACTTTTCTGTTGTCCACCCCCCCTGGGAAGGGGTTATATGTAGATCATTGTGATCAGTTCTCCTTTGGTAAGTTTTAAAAAATATACTTTATTGGTTTTTAGTATGCTCACCGAATTGTGCCGCCATCACCATTAATTTCAGAGTATTTTCATGGCCCTAGAAAGAAACCCTGTACCCTTTGACCGTGGTTCATTATTTCTCCTCCCATCTCCCTTCTCCCGAACAATTCCTAGCCCGGCCAACTACTAGTCGACTTTCTGTATCTGTGGTGTCCTTTTTCTGGACATTTCTTATCAATAGAGTCACACAATATGTGCTCTTTTATGACTGGCTTTTGTGACTTAACATGGTGTTTTCAAGGTTCATCCTTGTCAGTGTCTATTAGTACTTCATTTTATTGCCAAATACTTTTCCACTGTATGGGTTATGCCACATTTTATTTATCTGTTTGTGAATTGTTGCACATTTAGGGGCTTGATACTTTTCAGCTATTTTGAATCATGCTGCTGTGGTTATTTGTATCCAGATTTTTGTGTGGGGATACATGCTTTTACTTCTCTTGGGTACACAGTTAGGAGTAGACTTTCTGGGTCACATAATAACACCCTGTCTAGACTTTTGCAGCACCGCCACTCTCCCCATCAGCGTGTGGCAGCTCTTATTTCTCCACATCTTTGCAAACACTTGTAATTACCTGACTTTCTGAGTGAGTATTGGCATGCTTGTCAGTGGAGGTGAAATGGCATCTCACTGTGGCTTGGCTTTGCATGTCCGTGGTGGCTGATGATGCTGAGCATCTTTTCAATGTGCTTACTGGTATTTTTGTATCTTCTTAAGAGACATGTATAATGTAAATCCTTTGCCCATTTAAAATTTGATTTGTCTCGTGTTTGCTTTGGCAGCACATACACTAACATGTGATTTGTCTCTGTTTCTAAAGTACAGGTTTGTAATACTGATACCATACCAATCCCTTATATTAGATCGATGACATTTGGGTATTTTTTCCCCTCCTGTTTTGTGGTTGTCTTTTCACACTCTTGATGGTGTCCTGGGAAGCACTTTTTTTTTTTTAAGGCCACTTTTTCTGTTGATTCCTGGGTGTTTGGTGTCAAGTAAGAAGCCATTACCTGAGGTTCATGATTTTGAAAATTAACTGTTTTCTTACAAGAGCTACGAACAAGGTTAAATGAACTCTATTTTGAATTAATTTTTCATGTGGTGTGAGATGTCAGGGGTTCTGTTTCTTCATGTGAATGTCTGGTTTCCCCTTTTGTGGGAAAGACTGTTCTTTCCTATCGGATTGCCTTTGCACCCTTCTTGAAAATCAATTCCTGTTTATTTGAGAGTTTCTTTCTCGGTTTTTATTTCTCCACCGATTTCATGCCAGTCCTCAAGCCTGCTCAGTGTCTTATCTGCTGGATGGCCACTTTGCCATGCCAGCGGCCATGGGACACCTGTCTGAAGCTGCACTTCCTGATGAGCTTGCTGATCTCCAGCAGCTTGAAGGGGATGACCCACTCCTGAAAGAAAGTGCTGGTCTGGCTGCCCATCTTTATTAGAGCCCGTCAGTTTTAAAGGCTTTTCCGGTTAATAGGAGGCATTTTGGTTATTGTGATTGGTTTACAGTGCTTTGCAAACCTTCCTTAATGTTTAAAAGGCTCTCTCTTTAGGACTTCTACTCATTACTAAGGTCTAAGGAATCAAATGTGTCACTAAGGGGTGTGTGGGGGGAGAAGGGAGCGTGGTTGAAGATGAGCGCCTCAGGTAGAGGAATGGTGCCAGCTTTACAGTTTTCTTTGCTGTGTACTGGATACTGTTCTAAATACTTACATATTGAACCCTTCATTGCTCCAGTAGCATTTTCAAGCATATTCTGTGATTATCCCCAGTTGTGTCTCTTAGGAAACTAATGTGAAAGAATGAAATACCTTCCCAGGGTCACATGGCCAGTAGATGCCAGGCCAGATCATCTGTGTGCATCTGTCTGAGCTAGCCAATGCTATGTGTGCACGACCATTCCAGATCCATCTTTATGACATACATAAGGTGCCAGGTACCATGTACTTACAAAAACTCTAGTCTCTCACTGAGGTGGGGATACAAGTTTCCTGTTGTTAAAAGATTCTGTTTTTCTCTCTCTCTTCCCTTGAGACTCTCTGTAAGCTCTAATCCTGCTATGCACAGGCACTGTAGTTTTCGTCCAAGAACTGCCTGCAGTTTGACCTGCTGGCCTGTCTATGATGAGGGTATGGGAGGTAAATAGAGTTGTTTGAACTTGGCCTGCACACTGACTCAGATGTCTGACCTTGGGACGTGTTACTGACTTCCCCGACCTCAAAATGAGATCATTGCAGAACCTCCTTCAGAATGTTCTCTGAGTACCTGTGGGCTGTTGATACAGGGTCTGGCAGAGTTTGCACTCGGTATTGGTAATTCCTACTGCCAAGATGTAGGCAGTCCCAGGGCTGCTAGGTATTTGTATGTTTCTTGTTTTCAGTGTCACCAAATAATCTTAAGGCTTCCCTTCAGTCTAGTAAGACAACAGAGAGGGAGATGTAGCTGAGGGCTTAACCACATAGCTTGTGCCTCGGTGTCCCTTTTGCGAAAATGGTGTCGACCACAGTGTCTACATCTTACAGGGTTGACGGGACAACTGAGCACCTGCATCTGTAAACCAGTTAGAACTGTGTGCACCCCTAGTAGGTACTCATGTGTCTGTCACGAGTAATGTGATTTTTTTGCCTTCATTTTCGGAATCTTTTAGTAAGTATTCTAGAAGTCTTCTGTAGTACACCAGGTGTCTGTGGCACACAAGTCTGTAGTACATGTGCATCGATTCTAGTAGAGATGTTGTGAGCCCCGGGAAGTGTACACAGTAAGAAACTATACAATTAAATGCTCCTGTCAGCTTATACCTTTATGCACTTGACAACCCTCTAGCAGTGTTGCCGATGCATGGCCCCTGATACCAAGATCTCTGTGCTGAAGCCATTGGTGTTGGCCTGCCCTGCCTTGGTGCAAGAGGCATCTTGTCCCTCTAACCTTTGGGGTGGGGTCCCTTCTCCTGTGAGGGTTTCTTCTCCTGGGTGTACTGCACCACTCGGCGCAGTAGCTGCCATTTGCTCATGGCCACTCATGCTGCTGCTGTTTGTGATGTTTCTTTCTCCCTTTCTTGACATTTCCATCAACTGCCCTTGGTGTTTTTCTTGTGTCAAGTATTGCATCTTTATATTGCCTTTAGCCAGTGACAGTACTTCTTCTGGTCTGCAGACTTAGAAAGGCCAGCAGGTATTTTCTTACCTCACACTCTTGCTTTGCCTCCTGCTCTTCCTGATAGGACTTTGGCTTTGTGGTTTCCTCCTTCACCTAGGCTTGCACGTGGCCTAATGGACCAATGTGTCTATTCAGATCTTCCCCTTCGTTGAGTGAGTGTGTCAAATCCTGTGGACTCCTGCACCGAGCCCGTGCCCCAGCCACGGGGGTCCAGCCGCGTGGTCCACCACCGTTGTTCAGTTTCCACGACTTGTCACTTTCATGGTGGACCATCTTCTCCCTTTCCTTTGGAGCTTTAAGCATGCTCTTCTGTTTGCACTGAACCTTTTCCCAAACACCTTCCCCCAAAGGCTCGTCTCAAGGATGTCGTAGCATGTACCTCATGTTGCTGTCAAAGGTCTGGGCTCATCCAGAAGGCAAGCTTTAGGAGGAAGGGAGAAGGAATTCCCAGCAGGCACAGTTACTAACCTGGGTGCTCAGAAAAAACCCACAGCACCCTGCCAGACAAAGTGAAACTGTTCCCTAAGGTTTCTAGGGCTGTACGTCTTTATGGGAGAAGATTGCCCCATCTTCCTCCCACAGAGCAGCTGATTGGTTTGAACCTCTCATCTTTGGTTAGCCCAATGCGTAGCCCACTCTACCACCTCCTTAATACATGGTAGGCACTCAGTAAATATTTATCGCTTGAAGCCAGGATATTCAAATGCTTACATTCCTATGGTTGTCTAGTGGAGACTTCATATTAGCTGTTGCTTTACAAAGACATTTTGAAATACGAGGGGGGAAAGTTGTCCAATACATTCCGTGCTTACACGTAATATTGTTTAGGTTGTAAGGTGCTCATAGAGAAAATTAATTACTAGAGCTATTTGGAGTGACTCAATGGGTGCAGCAGTGGGTGCAAACATAGGAACAAATGCGAGGACAGTGCCGGACCAGGAGGTGTTTAGTTTTGTTGTATACACGGTCACGATGAGTCAGAACCGACCTGGCGGCACAGACTATTACAAATATTATTAAAGTGTGCTTATTTCCTTTAGTTACAGCCGAGTTCTGATTCTGTGGATCTACTGTTAAACAAAAATAGAGAGGGAGAAAAATCAAGAGATAGCATCAAAGACAAAACTGAGCCCAGCACTAAGGAGTCCTTCCTTGAGAGCAACAGCAGCACCTGCACCAGTGGAAGCAGCAAGCCCAGCAGCCCCAGCGCGTCCCCTTCGATAATTAGCAACTCTGAATACAAAAGGGGGCCGGAGGTCACGTCCCAGGGGGTGCAGACGTCTAGTCCTGGGTGCAAACCAGAGAAAGATGACAAAGAAGAGAAGAAAGACGCAGCAGAGTGAGTATACCTGGGATGTAGCAGGCTCCATCCGGGAACTTCGGTCATGCCTTTAAGGTGTTCAGGTCTTTCTAATCTAAGAAGCAGTTTGGACCCTTGGGACTGCCTTTTAAGTGACCATTGCAAGTGGCGTGGGAAGTAAATGAGTCACTGCACTACTCTCTTCTCTTTGGGCCCTGTTTTTGCACCACCCTACCCCCACCACCCTGGGTAAAAGTGCCAGAACGGAATTAGAAAGGCTTATTCTCTTCAAACTTTGGAACCGTAACCTCCTGGACCCTGCTGTGCTGCTAAGACTTAGAACTGCCACTGCCCGGGAGAGAGAAAAATGTCTGATGTCTCTATGGAAACTCAAAATGGCTTTTATAAGAAATGCTGTTTTAATTACTGGTTAGATATGTTAAGATAAGCTTAATGCTGTACATCAGCATATTAGCGAGTTAGTGGATTTTTGTGGGCTAGCCTCAGAACCTAATAACCATTTTTTTGTGGGTTCTGATTTCCAAACAACCCAGCTGAGCTTTTGGCACGCGGCTTGCTGATAAGCTGAGAATCCTGCCACTTCTTAGTTTGAGGCAAGCTTTTTAGTAGAGACTTGGTTTTCCCCAAGATGGGTCATGTCAACCCCACCTTGTCATATTCACAGCCACTAAGAACTAAAGAGCTGGCAGGAAGGATAGTTCTGTGGTTACTCTGTCCAGGCATACTGTGGTCAGGAGGAACAATCGTTTATCATAACCTTAAAAACAAAACAGAACAAAAACCCTCCTCTGGCCAGTTTCTTCATCAGAATAGGAGATATGCGTGCATTGTGTGTGTGTGTTTAAAAAATTATTTTTAATAGGATTGATACTCTTCTGGTGTGAATTATTTGTCTAAGGTTTAGCAGTTTTAAGGAAGGATCAAGTGTGGGGGGGTTTTAGAGAGACCTAAGTCCTGTGCAGACATCACTGCCCTCTGTGTTTCTTTCTCATTTAGGCAAGTTAGGAAATCCACATTGAACCCCAATGCAAAGGAGTTCAATCCTCGGTCCTTTTCTCAGGTAGGTTGGTCACTCTGTTTGAAGTAATTTTAAGACTCTAGGGGGGAAATCACGGGGGATTAGTAGTAGCGTCTGTCTTTCATAGTTGCCTTTTGAAAGTAGTTGCATGCTGAAACAGCTATTGATGAAGTTTGTTTCCCTTATGTGGTAATTTTTGAGCCATAGAGAAGATGCTTGTTTGATATCAACTAGATGTGATCTTGGGCAAATCTTTGACTGGCCTCTGAGGTTCCTAGACACAGTTTTGTCAGCATTCTTCTGAATTTGTAAGAAGATATTTATTTACCGTTTTGATGATTTTGAACACTTTCTTCCATTTCTTCAGTTACTACCACCATTTTTAATAGTATTGTTGATGAATTGGAAGTGTTTTACTTTCATTTATCATTGAAAGGGACCATTTAAAAGTAAATGAAGAGGAAGGGGGTTGGGAAAGCCGTCAGACCTGCAGTAGTAGTTTAGCAGTAGTAGTAAACATCTCCTTACAGTGGTTGGATTCGGTTTCTGCTTTTGTAGCCAAAGCCTTCCACAACCCCAACTTCACCTCGGCCTCAAGCACAACCGAGTCCATCCATGGTGGGCCATCAGCAGCCAACTCCAGTCTATACGCAACCTGTTTGTTTTGCACCAAATATGATGTATCCAGTCCCAGTAAGCCCAGGCGTACAGGTGAGTCATTGGGTGTGAGGACCACCCGGCACCTTATAGATTCGAACTGCTGAGACCAGGGCTGAGTGCTGTTTGGAAGAGGGCGGGGGCCGTGGTAGGGGGTATTGAACGTATAAGGACCTGAACCTGAGAGGGCTGTCTGGGCCACATGAGAAAATTGATTTAGGTTTTCTGTTGTTCTTGATGTTCTTGCCTATGGGTTTGCATTGTATTCACTGGTTTTTCTAATGACTATAAGAAAAGCTGCCGAGTTAACTTTTCATGAGTGATAAAATGGGTTCTTATTGTGATAAGTGCCTAACTGTCATATTTTAATTTTTTTAATTCCTTCTAGCCTTTGTACCCAATACCCATGACGCCCATGCCCGTGAACCAAGCCAAGGCCTATAGAGCAGGTAAAGGTGAGAATAACCCTGCACGTGCTTGCAGTTGGCATGCTGCTTGGGCTCCGCCACTTTGCATGCAGCCAACACATGCTTGTTGACCCTCTCCCGTCTCCCAGCACTGTTGAAGGATTCAAGGGTGGAGTTATAAAGAGAAATAAAAGAGAAATACTCCTTAGTTATGACAGTTAAAGAAGTCTGGTGACACAGTGGCTAAGCACACAAGCTGCTCACCAAAAGGTGGTGGTTGGCACTCACCAGCAGCTCCTTGGGAAAAAGATTTGTAGCCTTGGCAACTGTGGGGGCACCTCCACTCCCCACTCTGGGGTCACTGTAAGTCAGAATCAAAACCACAACTGAAGGTTTTGTACAGTATGCTGTCCACAGCCTTTTCTTGGGGGGGGGGGCAGATCCTGAGGGTTTGGGTATTCAATTTTAAAAAGAAGGGTCACTAAACAGGGAGGGTAGAGGGAGAGTGGGTAGGAAGGAGGGAACCGATTACAAGGAACTATATGTGACCTCCTCCCTGGGGGATGAACAACAGGAAAGTGGGTGAGGGGAGGCGTCGGACAGGGCAAGATATGACAAAATAACAATTTATAAACTATCAAGGGCTCATGAGGGAGGGCGGAGCGGGGAGGGAGGGTAAACGTGAGGACCTGGTGGCGGGGGCTTAAGTGGAGAAGAAATGTTTTGAGAATGATGGGGGCAATGAATGTACAAATGCACTTTACACAATTGATGTGTGTATGGATTGTGATAAGAGTTGTATGAGCCCCTAACAAAATGATTTAAAAAAAAAAAAAGGGGGTCACTAGATTGCTGGCCATTTTATTTTGCACTAACACACAGTCCAGTATTTCTGTTGAAGCAGAGGTGTCTCCCCAAACCAACATTCAAGTCTTAGTGTAGAGGGCTGTCTCTTCATCTTCAAAACAAGGCATTCTAGTACATTCTGCACACCTGGGATAAAAGTCTTCATAGGCTAAATACACAGGAAATCTTTTAATGTTGAAAATGCCCTTTTACTATCCTCTTTACCATCCAATTACCGTATATACTCGTGTATAAGCAGAGTTTTTCCAGCACATTTTTAATGCAGTTTTTATGGTAAAATTAGGTGCTTCGGTTGATACTCGGGTCAACTTATATTCAAGTATATACGGTGGTTGTTAATTGTGAGACAAAGATGAGGCTGGCTGCTCAAGTAAAGATTTAGTTTCACATGATTGAATGAAATTGTATGCTGTGGATTATGTGCCAATAAAACTGGGAGAGAGAAAAATTCACAGCCCCCCCAAAAAAAAAAAATTTCACAGCCTTAGAAACCCCAAGGAGCAGTTCTCCCTTGCCTTCTTCCATCTCTGTGAATCCAAATGGACTCAATGGCAGTGAGTATCCAGCTAGTTGACAGTAATTAATTGCTGTCATTTAAGCAAAAGTGGAACTCTCTGTCTCTCATAAGGCGCACTTCTCAATGTCTTATAATCTTTGGGCATAAGGATTATTTTCTGTTCTTAATTTAATAAGCTTTTAAAAAAAATAATTTTATTGGGGGCATGTACAACTCTTATCACAGTCCATACATCCACCATTGTGTCAAGCACTTTTGTACATTTGTTGCCCTCATCATTCTCAAAACATTTGCTTTCTACTTCAGCCCTTGGTATCACCTCCTCATTTTCTCCTCCCTCCCGCTACCCCCTCCCCCATGAACCCTTGATAATTTATAAATTTATTATTATTTTGTCATATCTTACAACCACCTGACGCCTCCCTTCACCCACTTCTCCGCTGTCCATCCCCCAGGCAGGAGGTTACATGTAGATCCTTGTTATCTGTTCCCCCTTTCTCCCTCACCTTCCCTCCACCCTCCCTGTATCACCACCCTCAGCACTGGTCCTGGGGGGTTCATCTGTCCTGGATTCCCTATGTTTCCAGTTCCTATCTGTTCCAGTGCACATCCTCCGGTACAGCAGATTTGTAATGTAGAATTGGGATCATGATAGTGTGGGTAATAAATTTTCTTTGTTGGTTGAAATACTTGTGATTATGTGAGTCTTAATGAAAACTCTTAATCTTCTCTTTTGCAAGTGCAATCGTGTATAGAACAATCGTGCTTTAGAACATTCGGCCTTCTGTGACTTGGGCCCTAGCTCGAGCTAGTTAATAAACTCCTTGGTTGTTTGCAAAAAAAAAAAAAGAAGAAGAAGAACATTCGGCCTTGTTCTAAAATGATCCAGTGATAGGATTGAGCATATTTTCAGGGCCTGAAAGGGTTCAGGGGGAAAAAAGTTTTTTTACTTCTGCCAGTCCGTGCACCTTCTCTGCATGCTCCCAGAAAAGAGAAAGAAGAATTCAAAATAAAATAACAATAGTTTCTTATCCTGCCATTTTGAGTGAGTGTTGTGTATTTAGGGGTTCGACTATACCCCCCTAGGTCTTGCTATCTTTGATGATTATTTACAGCTGTGCTGTGGGGACATTTTAGTGCTAGCATGTGAGAGACCACAGTGACAATAAGCTAAGCTATAGTAGCACAGTCACTGCAGGAAGCCCTGTCATTTTGGCTGAAGAGAAATGTCTCTCCTGAGGGGACTCAGGTAGCTTGACTCAGGTAGAGCCCATCTAGCCGATCGGAAAGGACACTTTGAAAAACAACAGCTGTGAACATGTGCTGACCATACAAGGTGGGCAGTGACAAGGAAGTGATTTGGCCTGTAATTCAGATTCGGCGATTATCAAGATTTTGCCCTATTTGCTTGGCTGAGTTGTATTTCCTTGGATAAAGTATTTAAAAAAAGAATGCCAGGAATCATGCTATTTCTTTCCCTCATACCTGGTGTGTGTCTCTCAGAAGTAGGGGCATTCCTGGCTAGCATGCAATGATTGTGCATAATCACATTTCCCTAGCTGAGTCAAGAATATGTTTTACAATTGGTTTGTTTTGACCGCATAAAACATGATATTTATGTTACTAGATCTATCATGCCACTTGGTAAGCTCCCCTACCATGGCTGCGTTATAGCAGCCAGTCATAAAATGTGAAGGTTAAGTAAAAAAACATGGCTTCTAGGGTTCTAGTTATACATTCATGAGTTAACCAAACCAAACATGTTGGAGCATGTCTCTGTGCAGGCAAGTTCTCTCTGTGATACTTTTCTTAGGGCCTTCCAAAAAAAGTTCAAATTACAGCTTTGGCTTCAAAGAGGGGATTAGTGGGCCAGTTTAATTCAAGATGGATGTCAGTTCAGAAGGTTATGGTGAGGTGAGTTTTGGGGTCATCCCAAAGGGGTCATCTTTATAGATTTTCTCAAAGGACATAGGACAATCACGGGGGGTTATTAAAAAGAAATTTTAAGAAAATTAAAAATTGCATTGTTTAAAAGGCAACTAGGAAAGTTGTGCCAAGGAATCAGGACCTTCTCATTCTTCCAGGGCAGCAAGGGCTGTCTTAGGAGAATTTAGTTGAGAAACCTTACCCCATCCACCCTACAACCCTCATCTTGCCACTTCAGACTTTATTTTGTTCTTCAAACTCAAGAACATTGAAAAGGAACACAATTGGAATCCCTCAAGGGTGCCAGGACTGCTGATTTGATGTGGAAGTCGAAGAACACCAGATTCTTCAGGGAAGGGTTAGAGAAATGGAAATGCCACCTTCAGACTTGTATAGTCATAGGTGGAGGAAATGTTGAGAAACAATGGCTTCAGGTTTTGATCATTTTGTCTGTCCTTTACATGATGACAGTGATTAGATGCAGGTTCAGCCGGTTTGGAAGGAGGAGTGGGACAGGAGTGTTCCCTCTTCCATCCCTTCTGGAGGTTTTTAAGTGTTACTCTGATTCTTTGGGGATTGATGCTTGGCATCATTGTTCTTTAGGGCTGTGATAGAAAGTCTGATAGAAGTAGATCTTATTCCACTGTGACCCTCATCTCTGCATTTCCATTGCTGTGGTAAACAAACTTTGACCCATCACAGTAGGCATCATCAAAAGCAGCCTTCTCTCAATAAGACCAATGTAGTTTAATGGCAAAATGAAGAAAATGCAAATTGTTCTTTGAGATTGAAGGAATGATGACATAAGCAAATAATGTAGAGTATGATTCTTTCATGACGCTTGACTATAGCACCCATATCATCACTGTATATCACTGATTTTTTTTCAACAGTGAAGAATTCAATGACCTTTCCAACTCAAATTAACATTGCAAGAATTTGATCATGACTGCATCTCTTACACTAAAAATGTTTTGCACTAAAAACAGTTGATTTTTAGTTTCTTCATTTATAGAAGCTGATGGCCTTCCCTAGCTTGGCTCATCTTTGAGGTTGTTCTGACCTCTCAAAGTCTAAAAACTGTTGTCACATGCAGCAGCATTCCATTAACTTACTGCAAAGCTTCAAAGATTTGGGTCTGTATCTACTCAAGTTTTGTTAAAGTTTTGATTTTAGCTCTGACCTTAAAATTTTTTTTTTTTTTAATCTGGCACAAACTATCCCTTCTTTTGAGGGAACACTAGTGAGACTGAGAACTTATCTGCAGCTATCCTCTGATCACAGACATGTTCAGATCTGTTTTTGCCTGGTGTACACCCATGTAAGTATGAAAGGGAACCTTCACAGCAGTGCTTTTCACCTTAACTGGTTTCACATACCATCAAGGTTGCTCATTGAAAGCATACAGTTCAGTGGGTTTTAGTATTTTTCGAGCTGTGCAGCCATCACAACAGTTACTTTTAGAACATTTTTATCACCCTCAGCCCCCAAACCACACACCCCTTAGCATTCGTGCACCATTTTCACACTCCTTCCCACACACCCAATGCACACTCAGCAACTCTTTATCTCTCTCTGTTTGTCTAGTCACGACAGCACATAACGATGTCGTGTTAGTGATGGACTTCTTGTGCCTAGCATCCAGTCTTAAGGGTGCTAGCATGAGCTAGTAGGCTTTGCCTTCTACTTGGTGAATAGCATCCCTCTGTAATATACCATGTTGTGTATCATACATCTGATGAACATTTGGGTGTTTCACTTCTGGGCTGTTGTGAATAATGCTGCTTCTGAACATGAGTATCCAAGTTTTTATGTGGATACATATTTTCCCTTTCTTCAGTATATGTTTGGAAATAGAAATGTTTTGTTGGAACTGTAGAACTTTTCCAAAGTGGCTGCACCATTTTCTGTTTCCTACAGTAGAGTATGAGGGCTCCAACTTTCCCACATTCTAGCCAACACATGCTGCTGTCTTGTTAATTTCAGCCTTTTAAGTCAGCATTGACTCTGGCAGTGAGTGTGGTGTAGCTTCGTGGGTTATAGAGAGAGCCTGGTGGCTCCTAACCTCAAGGTTATCTCGTCCTGTGGTACTTCACTATCGTTTTAATTTGTATTTTCGCAATGACTAGTGATAGTGGGTGCTTTTTCACAAGTTTGCTGACCATTTATATATCTCCTTTAAGCAATGTTCATTCAAATTCTTGACCTAGATTTTATCAGATTATTTATCTGGAATAATCGTAAGAGTTCATTTCCTAGAAACAAAATCTACCCTCAGATAAATGTCTTTCAGATATTTTCTCCTGGTCTGTGGCTTGTCTTTTTACCTGCTCGATGATAGCCTTTACACTACAAAAGTTTTTCATTTTGATGAAATAATTCATATCCCTTATTTCTTCCAGAATTCATAAAACTTAATTTTTTATATATTTAAACCCATTTGGAATTAATCTTGTTAATTAATGAATGATTAAAATTAATCTTATACAAATGACTGAAAATTGTTTTTAACAATTTCACTATTCTATAATTATCGTAAAATGTATTTCTTTTAAGCTTACGTTTTAACTTTTGACAAGAGTATTTATCATATAACCACTACCTTAAGCAAGATGAAGAGCATTTTTCATCATACTTTCTTCCACCAGGTACTGGTCCAGACCTCCCTCCCCTATAGTGATTAACAATAATGTCTCCAGGCACTGCCCAGGGCCCCCTGGGAGACAAAATTTCCCCCAATTGTGAACCATTGACATAAGAAATGACTAAAATACGGTCCATCTGAACCATTGTTTCCCAGAGTGGGCAACACTGCCTCCTGATCTCAGGGTCTGCAAAAGCAAGGGACCTACACTTTATATTGGATCGTGAACTGTAGGACAAACATTTTTAATGGCCAGATGGGGGCGCTAAGTTGTTTGTTTTTCCCTGGAAAGGGGGCATAAGCCAAATAAGTATGGGAATTTACAATCTATCTAATAGGTTTAACTATGATTAAGGTAGGTTCAGCACAAGCCATTACCGTAACCATGATTCTGTATCACATAGGGGCCTTCAAAAAGTAGGTGGGGAAATTCCACTATCCTTTTATTCCATAGTTCCATGAGCTTTTTGAAGCCCCCCTTTTATCTGTACTGATGATGGATGAAGAATGATCTAGAAGGCTAGCTACAAAGCTTGCTAATAAGGCCAAAGGGGTGGGGTGCAAAAGATTAGAAAGGGCCATTTTGCTTAGTATTATTTGAGCACTTCTTGCTAAGGTTGTGTTCAAGTGTATGTTCATAAGTAAGAATTATTTTAAGTTTTTATAGAGACAGTAAACTTGTGCGTCTGTGAAGGCGGCAGTTGAAGTGTCACATTGATAGTGGTGAGTGGGTAGCTCAGTCACTTGGCTTATTAGACAGACTTGTATTTGATCAAAATGCTGCCTAAGTTTCGGGCAACTTTTCCTTTACCAAAAGGAGCTGCTTTTTCAATATGTAGACTCAGAATTGAATTCAGGAAAAATATTTTACTTTATTGTTCCTACTGTTTTCAAAATAAAATTAAAAAAAAAATCAAATAGGGCATTCAACCCACTGCCATGGAGCTGGTTCTGACTCATAGTGGCCCTGTAAGACAGGAGATCTGCCCCCGGGGATTTACAAGGCTGCAAATCCTTATAGAAGCCAAGAGTCTCATCTTTTCTCTGAGTGACTGGTAAGCTTGAACTACTGACCTTGTGAACCCAATACACCAACTAAAAGTTCAGCAAGTCATTAAAATTTTGACTTCAAGTTTAAAAGATTGAAAACAAAAACTGAACTAGGGATGTTGGCAATACCTTCTGTAGCCAGTCAGTCCCCACAGATTCATGAGTGTTAACCTGTTGTCTGGTCTGTGCCTCGTACCATCGATGTTGTGAGCTCTGTCCTTCGGACGCTTGCAGACTCCAGTGCACACGCAATAATAGACGTGTGCAGGGAAGGGACACAGTTCATCTAGCTCTTAAGGGGGCGCTGGGAAAGTCCTTCTTGAAGAGATAGCAGCTGAGTTCTTGGCAAATTGGTGTGGCACAACAGGAATGAGATGTCACTCTTGGCAAAACGGTGTGTCATTTATACACCTGCTGTATACTTGAGGAATATGGGGAGTTGTGTGGAGACCACCAGTGTGGGGAAGTAAAGAGACATGGAGGGGGGAAAGGTCTTGGGTTACACAAATGCTTTACATTCAGGTGGTAAGTAAAGGGGATGTGCGTGCATGCATGCGCACATACAAACACACATGTATGTATGTATGAATGTATATATGGCGATGAGCTCTTTTCTGACTAGAAGCATGATTTGGTGTATTTAGTGCACGTGGCTCTAGTCCCCATCATCATGTTGTGGTTAGTGCTCAAAGGGAAGCCCACAGGGACTCCTCAAAAAGAGCACTGAGCACTCTAGGGTGCCAGCCAAGTCTGTTGCCTGTGGAATCAAGGAGTAGCCTGTGTAATAAGACAGGCTGATGTGGGGCTGGTAGATCCCCATGTGGTGCACTGAGTTGGTGGTGCTAAGTTGTCTCTCTTCCTGCAGTACCAAATATGCCCCAGCAGCGGCAGGACCAGCACCCCCAGAGCAGCATGATGCACCCAGCCTCCGCAGCAGGCCCACCCATTGTTGCTACCCCTCCAGCCTATTCCACACAGTACGTTGCCTACAGCCCTCAGCAGTTTCCAAATCAACCTCTTGTTCAGCACGTGCCACATTATCAGTCTCAGGTAAGGCTTGGGGTTTCCTGGCTCGCTCTGTTCCCTGGGGATATTGGTTCAGCTTAGC